TCTACCCATCACATAGGCTTAACAATTTACTGTAAAAGAAGGCGGTGCTTTGAGTGTTCCTTTTGCCACTCACCCCCCTTCTGTTTGACACATGGAGCAGTTCCTCTGCACAGTTCTCCGCTGTCACGCCTGTTTGTTGAGTGTGGCCAGTGAAGCTGAGCCAAACTCCTTGTAATCTCACATACTTCTTCTCTATTATTCTCCTTCCGTACAGACGTTTGGCAAGCATCTAACGCACCGTTGATCTGAATTGTCTCAAAATAGTCTCAAACTGTTGGTACCCATCGGGAATCGTGTGCTATTATGGGAATAAGAGAAGTGACTTATGGTTTTCCCAATATAAGCCCATTTCGAGCTCCATTGAAATGAATGGAATACAATCTGTGGGTGTTTACCTTGGGGCAGGGCTGTTAGACCAGTGGTAAGGCTTTCAGGTTGTTTCAGGATGTGGAGGACCTGGGTTCGAATCCCACACGTGCCCATCTGCTCCCTTTTTTTTCGTTTTTAACGCCAGTCTAGCTGACATTACAGTGGCGACGAGGGCGGGGCGCGGACGTTGCGGCGGGGGCGGGACTACGTTGGGGTGTGGGGCGCCGATACGGCGCGGCCGATAGCATGACGCTAACATAGCGCTAGCTAGCATTGCACTAGTAATAAAAGGACCCGACTGCTGACAAGTGGCTAAAACAGCCAGAGTAAAATGGGTCATGTCTTTAGCTTGTTAGCTAGTCTTCACTAGGGGGGGTAGTAGTATAAAATAAGCGTTCTGATTGGTTGAGAGTGAGTCACTGGGTGTACTGAATTGAGCCATAATGTAATGTTACCTGTTTACATTTACCTGAGCGTTCATATCAGTGCGGGGATCAAAATAACAGTTATTGAACAGACTTTGCGCGACCGTTGGTTGTCATTTCAGTTTTTAGCTCGGTGGTGATCGACTAAAACGCTGCTAATGAGCTAATGAGCTAATGAGCAGGCAATGCGAGCTTTCACAACCGATTTAGGGCACAATTTAGCCAAAGGGGACAATTCAGCTGGACATCATGAGCGATGCGAGTGAATGCAACATCGAGCAGGGAGACCTGGGATGTTTTCAGATGCACGAATTAATGTTGATCTCTTTGCTAATCATCAACCAACTTCTGGTGCTAGGCTACTTACTAATAATAATGTTGCGGGAAACCGGATTATAAAAGCAATAAGGTTTGCCAAAACATCCTTGAATTATTGACAATAAAGTACAGCCTCTTGTACATTATTGCTTAAATATTTAACATTTTAAAATTATTATTAAAAATAGGTATTTTATTTTTGTCGTGTACAGCACTGTATGTATGCTCTTACCTTTACTTGTAAATTACGTTAAGTTCATTCGCCTTCTGGACAAACTCTCTCGCTCTATGACTTTGGTGTAAAAGTCCTCTTTATCTTCAATAGACATTATTGCTCGGGATGAAGGTCGTCTTTGGTATCAACAGCAGAACGCCCACGTGCTCACACACGCCCCCTTCAGGCAGGCAAAGGTACTGACTCCGCCTCCGCAGCAGTGACTAGCAGTAAGGAGGCTCCATACACAGATCCAGTGACGTGCGGTCACTAGATGACGGGGGCTACCTATCAGTGACTAATAGTCACAACTAACAGGAGCAATTAGTGGTATAACCGTCTTACCCAAAGCTGTTGAGCAAGCGTCTTGTGGAGACAGGTTGATCCAGGCACGTGCACAGACCTTTTGGGGGGCAGGTGCCCAAAAACCAAAACAAAAGGGCACCCATCGCCAAAATAATTCATGAAATTAAAAATACTAATAAGAAAATAAATACATTTTAAAAACAGTAGGATATTTTCCCTGTTCTTCTCCTTTTGGAGTCTCTCTTTTCTTGGCATTCAATTCAATTCATTTTATATAGCCCAAAATCGCAAATTACAAAATTTCCTCCGTGTGCTTTACAGTCTGTACACATATAACATCCTCTGTCTCAAAACCCTCACATCAGCACAGGAAAAACATGAAAAAAAGATGAAAACCCTTCCATGGGGAAAAAAGGTAGGAAACAATACGTGAGAGGAGGGATCCGTCTCCTGATGGACAGACTACAATGATGTCATGTGTACAGAATGAACAATGTACAGGATGTACAATACATTCAAGTCCTACAAATGATACAAATAATTGTGAGCAGTAAGACAGGCGCACAGCAGGACCACTGCAGAGACAACGACCATAAGATTGAACCACCATCACATAGAACCACCATCAGATAGAACCACCGTCACATAGAACCACCATCAGATAGAACCACCATCAGATAGAACCACCATCAGATAGAACCACCGTCAGATAGAACCACCATCACATAGAACCACCATCAGATAGAACCACCGTCACATAGAACCACCGTCACATAGAACCACCGTCACATAGAACCACCGTCACATAGAACCACCATCAGATAGAACCACCATCAGATAGAACCACCATCACATAGAACCACCATCACATAGAACCACCGTCAGATAAAACCACCGTCAGATAGAACCACCATCAGATAGAACCACCATCAGATAGAACCAACTTCACATAGAACCACCATCAGATAGAACCACCATCAGATAGAACCACCATCAGATAGAACCACCATGAGATAGAACCACCATCCACAGACGCCTGACACACGTACACACATTTTTTGAACTGTTTTCTGTTGATGCATAAGCAGCATTACACTAATAATATACCAACATACCTCACCAGCCTGTCAGGTAGCTCACCGTAAGACCTACACAGCAAAGTTAACTTTCCGGTGTTCGGCAAATGTGTTGAAGTGCAGATTTGAAATCACACTGCAAAAAGTTGATTCAACTCTTACAGAGTCAGTTGTAGGAAAGAGCTGGAGTCATTATTCAGTGTGAAGATCAGATTCATTGACACATAGTAGAGTTAAATTAAAGTCTGAAATGTAACTGTACAGTGTAACACTTCTTGGTGTACTGTGGCGCATGGAGTAGAGAGGGTGAGCCAGGGACTGCACGCAAGGTTGGTAGTTCAACTCCCGGCTGCTACATGTCCCTCATCAAAGTGTCCCTGAGCAAGAAACCTAACCCCTAATTGCTCCCCAGACTAAAATGTAAAAACATGGGTTAAAAGTATGTCGCTTTGGATAAACGTGTCAGCTAAATGACCTGTAATGTATTTAACACTGGGCAGATTTATTTTTGACACTTATCCAGAGTTTACTCGTTAACACTTGTTCACACTCAGTGTTGATTTAACACTGACGAGATTGGGACAATATAAACACCAGCTTAGAGTTAAAATTGAATCTCACAGAGTCAATTTAACTCTCTGAAATTTGCTGTGTACCTTTCATTTCAACAATTGCATATTAAACAAAACTAGTGAACTAGTGTCTGTCTAATTTGTAGAACAGTAAAACTGCCTTTAAATTCTCTGTCTGCGTCTCTCTCTCTTATTAAACATGTCACACGTCAGTAAACAGCGGGACACGCCTTTGAAACCACAGATTTCGTGACTGTTTTCAGCGGCGCTAATGTTGTGGTTAATTTATCACTAAACAATGTCGGGGTTTGCACTAACACTGTCATCACTTGTGTGTCCCACGTACTACAGTGCCATTTGATTACTTCTTCCACAGTAAACGACTTGTTACTTTGATCTTCTACAATACATTTGGACTGTGTTGTGTTCAAAAATGAAGAAACGCCGGACGGACAGAGGTCATCGCTGATCAAAAGGTTAAAATCAAATGTATTTAATAAAAGAGATGGCGTCGTGGTAAAAAGAACATCTCAGCTGAGGAGCCGCTGGTCTCAGCAACCAACAGGCCCCAGGTCAGTCCTTTGACCATCCCTAGTGCCCGTCTGTCATCTCCACCAGCGAACTCCAGAACAATGGTTCCTACAGGTATTTATAACAATGCTTAAAGGTGTGAAAGTTAGTGTCCACACCTCTGGGAGTCTTCTGGTGAGTTCAATGTAACTCGGATTTCGAGTGATCCATAGTCAATATCCGTTGACTATGGAGTTATGCAGTTGTTGTTCAAGTATTACATGCATGCATTCCAGTTGATCACATTACATCAAACACAATCATAACCACATTGGTATTATTCTATTACAGTTGCAGAATCACAGTGGTTTTACAATATTGTCATTACTTTATTGATTACACAGTTTCAGAATCATGGCTGTATTCTGGTGGACACTATATGCATTTTTATTCATTTTATGAACCGGATCGTCAATTTGTTTCTAATATCCTACAACTGCTATATATTTTTTAAGAGTAAATTGTTACTGTGATTTTCTACAGTAAATGTTGACTATTGTGTTTTTCTACAAAGAAATGTTAGTTACTGTGATCTTCTTTAGTACTTTGTTGATACAGTACACACCTTGTTGCTGTGATTTTCACCATAAATGGTTAACTACTGCAATCTTTGAGTAAATAAACATTAAATTACACACAGTGGACTGTGTTGTGTTGTCTCTCTGGCAGCCCTGCGATTAATTTGAACCAGTCCCAGATGTCCTCCATCTCCACACCAGCACCCCCTCTGAGGATGAGCTGTGTTTAGATTTTGATTCTTTTGGGGCACAAATAGCGCTGATCGACACATTTTTTGGTCTGCAGCGTCAGTACCAATAGTCAGTTACGCAGGATGAAAAGAAGAAAATCATATTTTTAAATAGTTACATAGATACATTATGCTGTTATTTGTATAAAATGTCTGTACTGTTCTGACCAAAACAGTTTGTGCAAAACTAAGGTTCAAGAAAGAATTAATAACCAAGTTGTCTTTTGTGCTTGTAAAGTGAGACATATTTCCGACGGTACTTGAAGGTTGCGAGACTGTGCAAAGCGCTTCCGCGCATCGTGATTTGAATGAACGGACCAATCAGCGCGCTCGCCTGGCGGAAGCTTCTGCTCTCCGTCCGTCTCGCCCAATCAGAGCGCGGCTCCGTTGTTTGCTCCGCTTTTTGAAATGAGCTCCAGCGGCACACCGATTCCGACTCGGTGAGCTATGAAGTAGTTAGCTGTCAACAAACTGAAGCAGCCGCGTTCGGACAGCTTGGACCGCGTCCCCGTTGAAAGGGCAACATGCATCGACACCAGACTTGAGATTTTCGACAGAGATGTGTCAATTGTTTTGAGTATTTGGACCGCAGAAGAATTCCGTATTGTATTGTTGACTTGGCTACTAGCCTAGTGGCTAACTCTGTTAGCTGCTGAGCGGGTTGAGTTGGACTAGTTTGGCCGCTAACGCCGGTGTTACTTTCTCTTCTTCCTTTCTTCAAGGCAGCAGCCTCAGAACCAGTCGGTGAGTTTGGTTTGCTTCCTTGGTTGTGCTTTTAGACCACGTTGAGCGAGCTAACCTCCGGGGACGTGAACGTTAAGCGAAGGGACTTTCCTGCTGCGTCCCAGTCGGCCAACGTCAACTGGGCCAATTAGCGTGTGAATGACGTGTGACGCTTTGAGCTGCTCATACTTTAAGCAGTTCACCCGCTACGTGGTAGCAGGAGAGACACGAGAAGGGGAGACGCGCGCTGCCGTTGGATCGATACTCATGAACCTGCAGGAACGAGTCTCTTCCCTCTGCTGGACTTCGTTGTCCCTATCACAGTCCACATGTGTTGCTCTCTCTCCAGTTGCGTTGTCCCCCTCGGGCAGCACCTGTGTCTCTTGTCTTTAGTTTGACAGTTGTCCACCTCCTTCTGCTCTGCGTTGTCTGTAACCTTTGACCCGTTGGACAGATTGGTGCCTGGCATGGCTGACAGCAGCGCACTGACGTCGGGGACAGCTCCGAGTCTGCTGGTGGACACTTCGGTCTACGACTCCAGGATTGCAGAAACCACCAAGGACCATGTGTTCCTGGGCCTGGCGTGTGAGGGGGGAGAAGGTCAGTCCAACGTTCCTCATCGCAGTGTGTAGGGGCCGGGATTCCAGCCCACGTATATCCACTCATTATGCCCATCGCTGGGCTGCAACTGACCATTTTCATAATCAATTTATCTGTTGATTATTTATTTTTTATGAAACGGGAAAAAAAAATCCAACCGTTCTCTAGAAAGTGCACAAACAGGTTTAAATTTACTATCACACAAAAACACACATGTGTGCTGTACATCTGCCAAATATAACAGCCTTTTTTATGTACATTTTTGTTTAAAGGGACCTGAGCTGTCCGAACAATAAATCATTGTCACTCCCAGTTCTTCTGTGTGTCCTTTCCTGTCCCCCCTTGTTCACCCTGTCTGTCTGTTCTGCTCTTCTCAGATATGCTGCCAAAGGTGGAGACGCGGGTGGTCCTTGTGGGGGCAGCAGGCAGAAATGCAGCCCTGGTCAAGGCACTGCAGGTACATCCCTGCTGTTAAAAGTCACCATCTGAGCTTGTCCAGGTCCCTGCTGGTCTCCATATGACAAGTAGGACACGGTTTCAAAGACTGTCCTCAAGATAATAACTTTTTGCCTGTGTTCTTAAAAAAACAAAAAATCTTGTGTAATTTCCCCTGATGTTTACAGCAGTAAACGTGTGCGTGTCTACAGGTGTCACCATATCAAATTTGTGTTGTGCGATTATTGCACAAACATTATTTGCAATAAACAATATTATTGCAATTTCCAGACCATTTTATGCCACTGATAACATAATAACAATATAATAGCACAGTAATAAAAGTACGCTCTTCCAAAGAACAGAACGTTCTATCCGTTCAAATATTTAGACATTAGAATCGTGAAAAAACAAAAGCAATAGTAAGTGTGGGGGACACGGAGCGGGCGGAGCATCGGGCGGAGGGAGGAACCGACAGTAGGTCAGGTTGAAAGAGGGAGGATGTTGTTGTTCTAGGTGAGATTTTAGCCTAGTTGTGTTGCCTGTTTTTCTTTCACGTTATTGGCTCTCCTCTCTCATTGCCTGCTAATGATGTGAATGAACGAGGACATGAACCTAACGAGAGGCAGGACACCGGCGCCGTACTGTGGACATCGGAGCGCTGGCTCGTATGCGCTATCTGGTCCTGAGAGGAATTTAATTCCACTTAAAAGGAATCATTTCAACCACTCAAGGTCAATTTGTACCACTATCTTCCTTTTGTAATATTTGTCTATCCACATTGCCTAATTCGAATGATCTGGAAAGTGGGTCGTAGCACAGACAGCCTGTTTGCTGATCAGACCCAGCCTTAATGTTACTGAGCACAGCGCACGGGATCACGCTGTCCAAACCTGTGCCTCTCGCAGGAGGACGCGTCTCTGAGTAAAGCGCCTGGTCGTGTGTCTGAGTGGCGCCGCGTGAAGGTGATTTGGAGGCGTGGCGGCACACTAAGTGCTGTCAGAAAGGCTTCCTTCGCTGGTCTCCTGAGCGCTGTCACTTGTGAAGGCTTCCTGCTTAAATCATCTATTTCTCCCCGGCGATCCAAAGAATGTGCCGACAGCTCCATCAGGACTCTCCCGATTGCCTCCCGACCCCCCGCTGCCATCGCTCATGCAACCCAGAGAAAGAAAATCATCCCCCCACACATGTTCTTGCCGTCTCCTTTCTGTGCCCGTCTTTGCCTCCATCTTCCCTGAGGGCGTTTATATTCATCTGCTCCCAGCCGCCCCCTGTGATGCTTCTCAAGGACACAGACCCACCTCCAACTCGCCATCCTCCATTTTCTTCATTTTTCTGAATGTCTCTGGCCTTCTCTTTCTTTGTTTCCTCCTCCTCGTTTGTTTGCTGTGCTCCTGTCAGTCATGCCAGTGTTTGACGCCCTCTTCCTGCTGGTTGTTTCTTACAGGCCATCAGAGTAATGGAGGTCCCCGTGGTTAAGATAAGGGAAGGCGAGCCAGGCGCCGAGGAGAAAATGATGATAAAATCCATAGTCAATATGGTACAGTAGAGCGTGTGACTGTGGAACTCTTTAATGGTGGCGGGGGAGGTGCTGCATGACTCCTAATTCACTCAATCACCGTGCATGGCCCACTCGCTGGTGGTGGATTGATTCAAATGTATGTGATGTAACACGTGGTCACCGGAGCGCTCCCTACCAGAGATGCTCTCAAATGTCAATGCAAATTCTTTTTAAAGACTTCGTATTCAGCCGCATGGCATTTTGAAAATGGCTTCCTTCCAGCTGAGATGGGTGAGATGAGAAGACGAGCCCCAGTCAGCATGTCCTTCCTGCAGCCGAGGGCAGTTCCCACATGATGGTGTCTGAATGATGGGATTCGCCTCTAGATGCGTGTGTCTGTGCTCTAATGCCATGTGTCGTTTTGGATGGACGTGCAGTTATAACGGGAGGGGAACACTGCTTGTTTACAGCCCTCCAGCTCCGCCCACTGTCTGTTATTTCCCACAATCCTCCCCTTCAGACGGACACGTTCCCTGTTGTGAGACACTGTGGTGTCTGCTGTGTGTAGAAGCGTGCGCTCGCACAGCCGTTTGTATGCATTCATTGGCAGGAAAAATCCTTTATTTCCTCGGTGCGATTCACGCGGCACATTTGACACTTGAGTGAAGAACCACGTCCGTAATAAAGCAAAGCGAATATTTGCTTAGTTCATGATGGTTTTGTCTCTCACTCCCTCTCTGTGGTACGTTGCTGATGGACATCCAGGACATCAACACCCCGTGCATACTGACGGACAGCGTCCAGGAGTTTGCGGATGGAGAGAACACTGATTTTGAGACGGTGTTCGTCCTCGCAGACTTTGATTCTCCCAACTACAACTACCTCTACAAACGGGACAACCGCATCGTCGGGCCTCCCGTCCTGCTGCACTGTGCTGCCAAGGAGGAAGTGAGTGATCCGTCTTCTCTCTGGGGCAGGAAATGTGCCACTTACTGATTCCCCAACAAGTAATCACTTCATTTGAACAAATTCCACCGGGGTCCAAAGCAGCGGTTCTAGGCCGGTCGTGCTGCTGCGCCGCCACCGCAACTTCAAGAGCTGCAATGTTTTCACCTCGCGTGTATGTAATGATGAACCTGAGATAGTGTATATAGTGCACATCAATATCACCGTATGCTAACAATCCTTTTTTAATGCTCAACCAAAACGACAATGCAAGAGGGAAATATTCTCTTTTCTAATCAATTGGCTGCAGTAACAAACAGCAGTGTTTCATGCACAGACGTCAAATGAAAAAAGAAGTAGTTTAAAAAATACGCGACGGATCGATCCGTGACGCGTTGGGATCAATGAGTCCTTTTTTCATCATAGTGTCTTACTGCTGGTGGTCTTTAGTGCACGCTCACAGCCAGCGATTGCACGGCGGACGTGGCCTCACGTGCACGAGCTTTGTCCAACTGTCCTCTGCTTGTTGGAATAAAAGATGCCAGAAGTGAACTCCGTTGCTCTGACAGAAGTTGCAGACCACGTAGTAACAACACGTAGTATAGGGTGTGAAATGTGTACTACAGATATGGGAGTTGTATACAGTGTGAATTGTGTATAGTTCTATCTAGCGATGTGTGTTCCCCCCAGTCAGCCCCCACACGTTGACGTTGGATCTGTGGGAAACCCGGTTCCTATTATTATTATACCCACTTCATAAGTATGTGGTATCATGTTGTTCTTGGCAGGTATTGTATCAAAGTCCTACTTTCGGCATTGTGACAACCCTCACAATCGATGTCAATGGAACGTGTGGGTAAACGGATATAAGGCAGGGGTGTGTTCACTTGAACAAAACGTGTCAGGAGTAATTAAGAGGGAGGGTCATGGTGAGCAGAGGAGCTTTAATTCATTCGTTAATTCATTTTGTGAAAATTGGATACTAGAGATGCTCCGATCAGGTTTTTTGGTACCGATCACTGAAATCAGTATCTGCCGATCCGATATCACCGATCACGGTGTCGATTTAAGCATTCTATTTATTGTGTAGCATTATTTATAAAATGAATTATTCTTAACAACATTGGTTTTGTATTTTAAGTATTTAAATTGCGAGACGAGAGAGTATCATGAATTGACAACCACCCGTTTTATTGCAGGGAACGTGCAACATTCCAATGTAGAAAAGCTCTCTCGCTTACTATAAAATGTGTAAATAATAATAAATATTAAAACAATAATAAAAATATAAATCTTTAAATGAAAATCACAACAATAGAATAACATGTGCAACATTCCACTCTAGAGGCTCTCAATAGAGCTTATAGGAGGAGATAACAGACAGAATAAAGATTAAAGGTGCACAGGAAGTCAGCAATTAAACCAAACATGTATAGTGTCTCACTCACTCACTCGGAGAGGGGGCACACTAGAGTATTCAAACCTTACTTCTGATTAAGCAGCATCACTGGCAGATTTGCCTTGATAAATATAAGCATCTCAGCATTTTTAGGAGTCCACCTGTTCCTCTTCTCATCTAAAATATGTCCTGCTGTGCTGAAAAGTCGCTCGCGAGAGGAAGACTGGTGCTGCGTAATAAACTGCAGTTAGGCTCAGCATAGACACGGGACACACACTCAAACTCCAAATGTCCCTCGTGAAGCTAACTGCCCTGATGTTGTCCGTCATAAGGCTCTCCATGTGCGTGTAGACATTTCGGTATAATTCCGGCAGACAAACATCAGTTGGGTATTTTCGGCCCGGCAGCGTATAGCGTGGATCCAAGCAGGATACAAGGCGTCTTCCACAGCAGACAGCGGCTGCTGATCATTCACATGAATTCCATTACCTTTGCATTTAGTTCCTTTCGTCTCTTGTTGTCACTGCTGCATGGTTGCTGTCGTTTCAATGTCTCTGTTACGGTCAGCTGAGTGGCGTTTGGGAAGAGGTTGCACGCTCTTTGTCTTTATCTGCCTTAACGCTCGCCAACTTCGTAAACTCCTCAAATTCCTTGTGACAAGCTTTCAAATGCCGTATGAGGTTCGTGGTGTTGAAACCCCTTTGACGCGTTCCTCCAAGGGAACCACTTTTGAGCAGACGTTGCAAACTGCACATTTATTATCTTTTTCCGACACCTTGTAATATTGCCAGACCGGCGAAGCCGTTTTGTCTCCGTGGTTTCACCCACCCGCCACCGAAGACGGGGGCCAATGAAATGTAATAACATGGAGAGACGGCCAATCACAAGCTTTTCAGAAAAAAAAAATCTGATCAGACAAATTTGATCGGCCGTTTTGAGAACGGCGATCAAAACCGATAATGGCAATATCGGCTGATCAGATCGGAGCATCTCTATTGGATACCTTCATTTTATGTAAAATGATAGCCAACATTTCTGTTCTTTAAGTGTTTTGAACTTCTTAATACGGTGAGGGTTGTGATCCGCTACTAGAAGGTGTTGGTCGGTGGTCGTTTTGCTTTTACGTGCTGTTGGTTGAGATCAAGCAGTAGAAGTTGGACTGTAACTGAAAATCCAAACCATGCCAAAGTCTGGTGTTGGTGCAACAGACCTCCGTGTTGAATATGGCGCTGTTGTCAGTGTGAAGGTTCTTCCTCCTCTTGTTCAAAGACAAAACAAGCGGCGAAGTTGTTTTTGCTTGTTCCCTCGTCGCAGCCTCTCCAGTTCTCCTGTCGTCCTCTCTACTGCACCACCATGCTGAACCTGTCGCTGTGCTTCCCCGGCTTCAGGAATAAAGAGGAAATGGGGAGTGCATTCCCTTCTTCTTAAGCCCTGTCTTTGTAATGTGTCGGCATAAAAAAGCCTGTTTTTTAATCAAGCAACATTTCTTTAGGGGGGCAGTTATCTTTCTATGGGGGGGGGGGGGGGGCTCTCGAAGTCAGGTTCATTTTAATCTTTGCATTTTCTATGTGCCAGATCACAACAAAAGGCACAACGAGCTGTGTCTCAATTCATTGGGCTGCATCCTTTCAGCACCGCATCGACTCAACCGAGCGCTCCCTGAAATGGGACGTCCTGGATCTTTGGACCCTTTTCATAGTTCCTTCTACCGTTTAACGTTTAAACAAAATACGGCAACACTCCTGCTTGCGTCATCAGCTTTATCTCCACTGCTTCCGTTACCTAGCAACGGCTGGCTTGACAGTAAAAGTTTTAAAACTCCAAAGCGATAGAGGTAATCTTCTTATTTTAGGAAGATATGCTTCTCCTTTTGTAGCATGGTGTATTTCAGCCTGAGAGAAGAACATTTTCTGCTTCTTTTTAATTCAAATTAAATCAGTTAAACTATGTACTTTCAGCTAAAAGGATAATATTGCAGTCTTAAGGCAGAGGAGATTTCATCAATACTTTCAATAAAAACCACAAAAGCAAACCCATTTAATAACTTGTATGCACACTAGGGCTGTTAAAATCGCTCAAAAATGACATTCGAATATTCACTTTAAAAAAACGCATATATTTGAATATCTGGTTGCGCATTAGACACGTCAATAACTGCACAAATGAATACAACGGGACATAACTTAAATAAATTACCTGTACAAGTAGTTTAAACCTATTTAACGTACTACCTACACAAAAATAAGTAAATTAACTAATGGCCAAGACCACAGACCTCTCTGCACCGCGTTAAATGAACGACGACGACATCAATAAACAAATGCTGAGTGCTGTTCAAGAGTTTTATTAATACGTCAGGCTTCATTCAGTGATTGAAACAGTTTTACGTATCAACATGTGCTGTAAACACTTTTCCTCAAATCATCAAAGCAGTGCATGAAGCGGTTGTTGCCTATTTTATTCATGCAATGTGTAGTCTGTAGTTATTTATTCTCAACATTTGTAATGTAACTTGGTTTCGTACGCTGTGGTACACAAAAGCAGTACAGTTCACTGCAAACTACAGCCATCGATATGTACCTAAAGTCCAAGGCATTCAAATAGACCTCCATGAAGGTTGAATCAGGGTGGTTGTCTTCCTAGGCTGCATTAGTTTTCCGTTCCCTTTTTCTGTTTCATATTGCTGCTCCTCTCGGTGCTGTTGGCTAAGTGCTCCTCAGTGCTCATCTTGTGTTTGCTTTTTTGTTCCCGTGTAGAAGAAATTGGTGAATCTGGTTCATCACATGGGTGGAACCATCCGGAAAGACTTCAGCACCAAGGTTACGCATCTCGTCGCTTACTCCACCCATGGAGAGAAATACCGGGTTAGTACATCCAGTGTTCCCCTACCATCATATGGGGGGGGGGGTGAAGGGATTGAGTGTTTCAGCCAGCGCTGTGACGGTGGAATGACACGTTTCACTGTGTCCCTTCCCTCAGTTGGCGGTGTGCATGGGGACGCCCATTCTGACTCCATCATGGATTCATAAGGCCTGGGAGAGAAGAGATGACGTGTAAGTACAAGGAAGGAAAGAAGCCAGCTCATGTCGAGCTCCACCGAGCTGGCTGTTCCCTGCTTGTGAGGAGTCACCTCGGCTGCTGATGAACTGCAGGTTCAGGGAGCAGCTTCTCCTTTATATCCACAGCAGCTGCTTTGGTATTTGTTTCTGAGGGAAAGAAGTGTTGGTATCAGTAGCTTTAAACAACCTGGATATGGCTTCATTCTGGCACTGCTGTGTTGGAGGTGCTTTCAAGAGATTGTGGAGTGTGAGTTGGTTCTAACTTTATGACAACAAACACTCTTTAACAACAGCTTGTGACACATAAACAGTTTGTAACACTAATAATTGTATATTTATAAAATGACCCTGCCGAACTGCATGCTGGGTAAAGCTCACAACAAGAAGTAACTGTTGCTACATGAAAACGGGGAAAAGAGCGTTACGGGAGGAACAAGGAGAGACCAGAGATGCACCAACACAACTCGTGCCAACAGAGGAGCTCAGTCTCTTTGGAGGGTGTTTGGTTTTGCAAAATCTGACGCAAGTTAGATCAGAAAACGGTTTATTGCAAAGTCTGTCGAGCCTCTGGTAGCAACACTAGCAGCCACAACAAGCTAACACGCCAACGAGCCGGCCAGTTGCCGCCGAGTTGGCCTGCGAACAGCTGTTCAGGTAGCCGCGGCCCTCTTCGGGGTCAATGTGTTTACTTTACATACCGTGATATGGATTTTTGGCCAAAGCGATCGGCCCTACTTCGATGTCATATGGAGCCTCGGGGTTCAGGGAGTAAAGTCACTGTCAGCGTGATGGTGGTCATTGTTTATTTTCCTAAAGCTCAAACTCAACCAGTAACAGTTGTACGCAGGGCTGCAACTAACGATTATTTTGATCATTGGTGGATTATTTTTGACAATCGACGGATTAAAAAAACTTCACATTGCAAAGTCCACAAACAGGTTGCGTCTGGAACATAATCATTTTAAAAAAATAAAGAAAAATACAAATCAGAAAACAGGATAATCAGAACTTGTTCTCTAGACTCACACTCACACCCCCCATGTTCACTTGAAGCTTATTCATTAAATTAATACCATCAGTGCAAGTTAAGTAAATGTATGCACCAAATCTAAATACAGCTAAAAAATGGCATTAAAAATCTATTTGTCAACAATAACCGATACGGGACAAAGCAATTCTTATTGATTTGATTGGTTGTTGCTGTCCGAGGGGATGATCCTTGCTGGATCGGTTGGCGATGGGTCATACGGTCGGAGGAGCCTGGCCTGAGGAAAGTGGTCAGAAGACTACAAACGAAATCTATTACCGTACGGTCTGTTCACCATTGTATATAAGTGGAACAGTCCAATATGTTGGTAACTTGACAGTCGTCCGTTAACACGCTGCTTAAAATGAATCCTAACCCATCTACAGGAATAAGGTGCTGATATTCATGGTAACTGTGCTTCTCCCACCTTCATGCGTTAAGGCACTTTAACGCAGCAGAAGAGGACTTTCGAACAGAGTACAAAGTGCCTCCGTTCCAGGACTGCGTCCTCAGTTTCTGGGGGTTTTCAGATGAGGAGAAGACCAACATGGAGGAGAGGACCCTCAAACACGGTCAGTGCTGCAGCTCACAGGAATGGGGAGTGGGGTATTAGCTTGATCACCACTATTAACTGGTCTCAACCAATGAGAGCATTTGAAGGCGTGCCTAAGACCTTCAAGCTCACCACAACCAAAACAGACAAGAACTGGACCAAGGTAGCAAACTCTTACGTAGACACTTTATTTGAAATATCTTCCAGACAGGTGATAGAACCAGTGTCATCAATATGTTGCATCACTGAAAGTTTGTTTTTGTTTTGTTATTTAACAGATTCCTCAAAAGAAATCCAGTACAAACAGGAAGTTCTGAGTACTTGACAACTGACTATTGCTAGATGTTTATGCTGCTGAAATCATTATGCTGGTACCTGTTGGGAATCTAAATCGATTTACACATTAACTTACCGGTTATAATGGTTTTATATTTGTATGTATATATATATATATATATATATATATATATATTATTTTAACTGCTACTGTGGGAAACACTGCTGTTAAAAATCAAACTGCTTTTGAGTTCCTTGTTCGCAGCGCAGACTCTTCATTCAGTGTTGGTGCACCTATTATTGAATAACTGCAGCTAGAGAAAGAGGGTCACTTCTGATGCTTGGAGACACTATCGCATCCCTTAAAATGACATCATCATCCCCCTGCTTCTCTGTTTCTAAGGTGGCAAATATCTTGAGGTTGGAGATGAAAGATGTACACACATGGTGGTGGAGGAAAACTCCGTAAAGGAACTGCCATTTTCTTCAAACAAAGTCTATGTGGTCAAACAGGAGGTAGGTAGAGTTTTTCTCTGTGCAGCTTCCAAAAGCCACAACCGTTGACTCCTCTGATACTGGACTAGATAACTGTTGCTACAGGAAGATGGAGACACAAGAGAAACCTGTCAAATCATTTTACACACAATGCCAAATTCCTTATTTTAGATGACCTCTGGATATAGAGAGTGTTTAGTTTAAGCACTACAATCAAATATGTACACACACACATATATATATATATATATATATATAATCTGTCCTAACCCCAGGGCGAGTAAAAGCCAAACGTTTCCTCTCTTCTGTGTAGTGGTTCTGGGGCAGCATTCAGATGGACGCTCGGGCCGGAGAGTCCATGTACTTCTACGAGAAGGTGAGGAATTAATGTACATGGGAGTACTTCAACGAAAGGGTTCTGGACCCAAATAAGCCGTGTTAATGTAGCATTGCCCCAGTCACGGGACAAGGTACTGCATGCTTTATCTTTGCTTATGGATTCAAACGTTAGCTTGATTTCACTGGTTTAGATGCTTCAGTCTTCGGTGTAAAGGGAATCCCAGTAGTCCAACTAGGATGATATAAATAAGTGAATCGTAATAGGTTTGAAACATCTCCGAGCTGCAGAAGACATGTACGGGTCAAAGATTGACAAGTCAACTAAACAATCCCACTATGCAGCTGAAGAAAGGAGCCACATCGGGCCCTGTGCTGTCATCCAGAACTCAAGGAGAGATACGAGTAGATCGTAGGCCTTTCCTTCACGTATGGAACCTCATTGAATCTTTTTACCACCATCATCTCATCCCGTTAGGAAGTTCAAATGGCCAGCTACCCCACCCTTAAAGGAAGAATCTGCCATTTGAGGTCCTGATCCATTTTAGCCAGAGTGATTATTATACATCAATCCAATCAAATTTAAAGAGTAACTCATCACTTAGAAAATCAGTGGTAGATCAGGAGCCTCCTCCTTTGTTCAACAGACACTTGTAGTCGTTTCTTAAAGTTGTTAATTTTCCTTCAGCCTTTTTTTCTCCTTTTGGTTTGTTTGGTTTTTACATTATTACCTCTGTCCCACTGCACGTCAGAACGACAGCCCAGCCATGAAGAAGGCCGTGTCCCTCCTGTCCCTCACCACCCCCAACAGTAACCGCAAGCGCCGGCGTCTCAGGGACACGCTGGCTCAGTTGACCAATGAGACGGAGATCTCCCCTTTCCCTCCACCACGCAAAAGGCCGTCAGCAGAGCACTCGCTGTCCATCGGCTCTCTGCTGGACATCTCTAATACCCCCGAGACATGCAAAGCTTTGGCAGGTAAGAGAACGATGGAGGACAGGAAAACCAACCAACTGTAGTACAGTAGTCTCTTTTGTTTCTTTGGGAGATTCTTCCTCAAGATCCAACTAACCCGGATGGTTCCCTCTTAATTTCAGAAGACAGAGTAGGGAACAGTTCAGAGAGCAAAGGAGGAAGGAGTGTGGCCACTGGTAGGATGAGAAGAAGGAAAACCAAGGGAAAGAGGATAAGGACAGACAGTGGCAGGTCCTACCAGGGTACATGTTCTCTTCATCTTCCAGAGGAGGAGCAACCAGAGACTTCCACAGGTCAGCGTTGGCTCCAGGAGTAAGACAGTGACAGGCCAACTGGTTATATCCGTATGCACTGGGGGGGCAACTTCAGCCACTCACACAGAGACATCACATGTCATTTATCCAAAGCGACTTACAATAAGGTGCATTTCAACCAGGATGCAGACAAAAGAACAAGTAACAAGAAAGAGCAATTTCATCAAATAAGCCGATATACATCTTGCTATAGATAAGAACCATTATAAGTCCAATGTAAGTGCTACAGGTAGTTAGTGTGTTGGTGGAGGTAGAGTCTGAAGAGGTGTGTCTTTAGTCTGAAGATGTGAAGGCTCTCTGTGGTCCTGATGTCTTCAGAGACCTCCTTCCACCATTTAGGAGCAGGACAGCAAAGAGTGGAGATCTAGTCCAGTGTTTTGCTCTCAGTGAGGAGGAACAAGCAGTTTATCACATGCAGAGCGGAGAGTGCGGGTCGGGATGTCGGGTTGGACCAGGTCCTGGATGTGAGCTGGACCCCATCCATTCACAGCATGGTACCTGAGCACCAGTGGTTAGAACTGGATGAGCCACCGGTACCAGTGAAGAGAGCGGAGGAGTGGAGGAGTGTGGGAGAACTTAGGAAGGTTAAAGACCAGTGGAGCTGCTGCATTGTGGATGAGCTGCAGAGGTGGAATGGTGGTAGCGTACACACGTCCGTACACATACGACGGCCTCTGTCCGAAACCCTCACTTCAGCACAGGAAAAACTCCCCAAAAAATGAAAAAACCCTTCCCAGAGGGGGAAAAAGGGAAGAAACCTTAGGGAGAACGTCAGAGGAGGATCCCACTCGAGTTGCCGACGTTAACATTTTGAGAGACAATGCGACTCGGATGTGTGACTACAATTCATATCATTATTATTTATATATATATATATATATTGTGCTAACAATAGATGAACCACGCATCACTTTTACCAATGGAGCTGAAGAACAGCTTTTATGGAGCATGACCTTGTGCCGCCCAGTGTCCCCTCAGCTACCATTGAATCATGCCTGTTGTAACAAAAAGAGTATAGATGATCAATATTTAAAGAACATCTTGATCGGATCTTAATCCTCATCTATTCCAGGGATACAAAATACATTTGTGGAAAAATAATTTGTGTGTGCTTGGACTCGGCCCTGATGTCCTGAGAATAGTGGGTGAGGCCCGTCAGTGCTCTTGCTCAACCTGCTCTCGTCCTGCAGAGACCCCCAGGCCCTCCAAGAGCTCCACTCCAGCTCTGTGCAAGCAGTCAGCCAGGTGGCAGGTCTCCAAGGAGCTCTACCAGACAGAGAGCAACTACGTGGACATTTTAAGCACCATCCTGCAGGTACGCTCCCCCACCTCCCAGTTGCCCCGGACAGCAGTTTGAACCAAAAGCCTAGTTTATGCTTCTGCGTTTTCAGACGCAAGACCCCCTTGCGTGTCCCTTGCGTCACTTTTCACACCTCCTTGCTGCCTGGTTTGTAGTACAGACGGTCTGTTGCGATCCAAGCTGCATTCCATCACTCAGATGTTTAGTGATCGCTACACCTTAATCAACATTTGTGATTATTATGGAGTCCTAATGATCACTTATGTTTTCACAAGAATAATTTCTTATGGATAAAACAATTGGCAGTGAGAACGTCAGAGGAGGATCCTTCTCCTGATGAACAGACACAATGATGTCATGTGTACAGAAGGAACAATGTAAAAGATGTACAATACATTAAATTCCTATGACAGAAATGATTCAAGTAATTGCGAGTAGTAAGCAGGTGTACGGCAAGAACACTGCAGGGGCAACAACCATCACATAGAACCACCATCACATAGAACCACCATCCACAGAAGCCTGTGGGGACGGAAAGCACAAAGATTAGGAGAGTGTAATGTTGGTTTATGATGACAGTAATGGTAATGTGATTTAATATTTAAAATCGTAATAATGATGATGAAAGCAGTAGCAGCTATCAGCAGGGCCACGGCAGGAGGCAGGATCAGGGTCCAGATTGAACCATAATCCATGAAATTTACAAGAGCAGCCTGATAATAAAGAATTACAGCAATCCAGTCCAAAATTAACAAACGCATGAACTCATTTTTCTGCATCACTTTGAGACAGGAAGTTCCTGATTTTCAACCTTAAGAACCTCACGTCGTTACCCGTCATGTGCTCTGGGATGCCGGTCACCGTCTGTCTCTAAGATGTCGTCACACGTGTCTCTACGATGTCGTTTTCCCTCTGTCTCTGGGGAGGGCGTTACCCGTCTGTCTCTGTGAGGTGGATACCCGTCTGTCTCTACGATGTCGTTACCCGTCTGTCTCTAAGATGTCGTCACACGTGTCTCTACGATGTCGTTTTCCCTCTGTCTCTGGGGAGGGCGTTACCCGTCTGTCTCTGTGAGGTGGATACCCGTCTGTCTCTACGATGTCGTTACCCGTCTGTCTCTACGATGTCGTTACCCGTCTGTCTCTAAGATGCCGTTACCCGTCTGTCTCTACGATGCCGTTACCCGTCTGTCTCTACGATGCCGTTACCCGTCTGTCTCTACGATGCCGTTACCCGTCTGTCTCTGCGATGCCGTTACCCGTCTGTCTATGCGACGTCGTTACCCGTCTGTCTCTACGACGTCGTTACTCGTCTGTCTCTACGACGTCGTTACCCGTCTGTCTCTACGACGTCGTTACCCGTCTGTCTCTACGACGTCGTTACCCGTCTGTCTCTACGATGTCGTTACCCGTCTCTCTACGATGCCGTTACCCGTCTGTCTCTACGATGCCGTTACCCGTCTGTCTCTACGATGCCGTTACCCGTCTGTCTCTGCGATGCCGTTACCCGTCTGTTTCTACGATGTCGTTACCCGTCTGTTTCTACGATGCCGTTACCCGTCTGTCTCTACGATGCCGTTACCCGTCTGTCTCTACGATGCCGTTACCCGTCTCTCTACGATGCCGTTACCCGTCTGTTTCTACGATGCCGTTACCCGTCTCTCTACGATGCCGTTACCCGTCTGTCTCTGCGATGCCGTTACCCGTCTGTCTCTACGATGCCGTTACCCGTCTCTCTACGATGCCGTTACCCGTCTGTTTCTACGATGCCGTTACCCGTCTCTCTACGATGCCGTTACCCGTCTGTCTCTGCGATGTCGTTACCCGTCTGTTTCTACGATGCCGTTACCCGTCTGTTTCTACGATGCCGTTACCCGTCTGTTTCTACGATGCCGCTACCCGTCTGTTTCTACGATGCCGTTACCCGTCTGTCTCTACGATGCCGTTACCCGTCTGTCTCTGCGATGCCGTTACCCGTCTGTCTCTGCGATGCCGTTACCCGTCTGTCTCTGCGATGTCGTTACCCGTCTGTTTCTGCGATGCCGTTACCCGTCTGTTTCTGCGATGCCGTTACCCGTCTGTTTCTGCGATGCCGTTACCCGTCTGTCTCTACGATGCCGGTACCCGTCTGTCTCTACGATGCCGTTACCCGTCTGTCTCTACGATGCCGTTACTTAGGGCAACTAAGCGGCAGTAACGTTTAATTGTTCTCTAGCCGTGGATCAATTTTGGTAGCAAAGTATAGTTTTGAAAGTGATCTGAGATTCTTACTTCTTGTTGAAAAAACCAAGCATGTTCATATTTTTCCTTTTTAAGCTTTTTAAGATACCATTGGAGAAAGAGGGGCAGGTGGGTGGACCCATCCTGGCCCAAGAAGAAATGAAGAATATATTTGGCAGCATCCCAGAAATCTACGACGTTCACACTAGAATAAAGGTAGAGTGTCCTGAGCTGTTTGCATCCACATGGCTGTGACGGGTCCTCTGAGTGTAATCTTTGGTTTCTCCTTCAGAGCAACCTGGAGGAGCTGCTGACAGACTGGTCAGAGGACAAGAGTGTAGGAGACATCATCCTAAAATATGTGAGTCCCCGTATCATAGACAGATGTTGTCCCTTTATGTTTGTCTCTCGTGTGCGTTGTTTTGATGCCTCTCACCTTTCCTCCTCTCTGCATCAAGTCTAAAGAGCTGGTCAAGGCCTACCCACCCTTCGTCAACTTCTTTGAAATGAGCAAGGACACAATAGTTCGTTGTGAGAGACAAAAGCCCCGCTTCCATGCTTTTCTTAAGGTAGGACCTTTACGCCTTGGAGGTGTTTGCTTACAATGGATGGATGAAATACACTATTTTATTAAATGTGTATGTTTTTGTTGTTCTACTCAAAAATGGATTAAGTCATGAGAAATGTTTACATGTCTGCTTATGACAAAACAAAATGTTTTTTAGTATGAATATAATATTTCCATCTTATTCCCCTTTTCCCATGGGAAGTTTCCAACTTTGAATATTCCTGTAATTTTGCAACCGTAGGTATTGCAACCGTAGGTATTACTATTACCCAAATAGTGTTCAGTTCAGTGTAAATTCTGCCGGTAAAGGTTGTAGGAATGGTATTAAGTGACTGAATCAATCTCTGACTTATCTGGTGTGCTGCTGTTTCAAACAAGAGAATGAGGGAAACCCCTGTAGCTCAGTGGCTACATCAGATCCTCCCCACAGCATCCCTAAAGCTGACCGTAATGTCATGTATGCATTTGTTTCCATGTGGGGATAGAAGCAAGGTTTCCCAGTATATGATCTCTCTATAGATCTATTTATTAAATCATCATTTCTTTCCTCTGGCAAAAGTACTCAGGCCTTGAACATGTGGCAGCAGGGTGGTGGGATGAAAGAAAAGATTATTACACACATCATTAAATCCATAATAAGAAGGGTTGCCAGGTCAGAACTCGCTCAGTATTTAGCTGAGTCAGTCAGACACACGATTTGGTCTAGCTATTGCAGTTAAAGTATGTTGGTAATGTATAAAGCAAAGGTTACTGACCTGATGCAGATTTACAGCTATAAATGTATTATTAATCATAAGAAAAACAGACGTGTGTTGTCACAGATCCAAAAGTGCACAACTACTGTCAAAAAATCTGTCTGCAAACGGCCCATTGGACAGATGGACTTCAGCTAATAAACCTTCATACTGTTGGTGTTTCTGTCCATGTGTCACACACGCACACTGCTTTCATTGTCCAGATCAACCAGTCAAGGCCAGAGTGTGGCAGGCAGACGCTGGTGGAGCTGCTCATCAGACCTGTGCAGAGACTTCCCAGTGTGGCCCTGCTCCTTAACGGTAACACACACACACACACACGCCGCGTTGGAAAAGAAGTATGCAAATGACATCGTAGATTGTCTTCTGCTCCTTTTCCTTCCCCTCTCATACCATTATGTCCCCTTTCTACTCTTGTCTCCACGTCATTTTCATCTCATGCTGCCTGTCTGCTTTTGACCAAACTTGCCCTTTTTTCTTCCTCAGACATAAAGAAGCATACGTCGGATGACAACCCAGACAAGATAACGCTGGAAAAAGCAATTGAGTCTCTGAAAGAAGTTATGACGTGAGTAGGCGAGACCTCAGCCTCTTCTTTTGTCCTGATCCCTCAGCCAGGAACGTCTGATCATTTCCATCTCATGCGAACTCTCCAATCGTTCAAAGAATAACCACCGTTGTTTAGAAAGATTTAGCAAAAAAACAATTGACTTTCATTAAAGTTTGAGTATGACAGCTTGTTATTTCAATGCAATAAGTCTGTACAAGCCCCCTGTCTCGTAGAGAACTGGAAGGCACGTTCCTTCCTGTTGTAAAAGAACCTGCTGCTTCCCAAACCCTTCCAATGCCAGTCATACCCATGGAACGCAGAGCTGCTGTTCTGATCATGTCATCCTGAACCCAACCTTACATTTACACCAAGGAAACGTCGGGACAATCTCCAAAATGAAAGAATCCCAAACGGGATGCCATGAGCAGTGCTTCCCCTAACATTGAATAGGGGGGCGCGGCGTCAGGTTACATCTTACGTTCTGCAGAGTCCCGCCGATGGGCACACGCAGACACCAGCGCAGGGGGGAAATGGCACCGCCTCCCCCATAACCGCCTTTAACGAATTTAATCACTGTAACATAGAACTAGCATCCAGAAGTGGAGCTTTACCTAAAGACCGTTTCTTGTCAACTATGTTTAATTAAATGATCCAAATTTTTTGTATGTTAACCAATATATTTCTTAGTAAATAGTTTCAGCGCTACTGAGATATGTAAATAATGTCCATTGGCTCTCCCTTTCCTCCCTCTAGTCACATCAATGAGGACAAGAGGAAGACTGAAGGCCAGAAGCAGATCTTTGATGTTGTTTATGAAGTGGACGGCTGCCCTGTAAGTGAACCAGGGCTGATCATAAGCTAATAACATGAAACCACCGCCTCCTTTTCACTCTACTGGTCCGTCAGCGAGGATACAAGGTACAAGCACTTTGGTAGTGTGGGGGACTGGAGGAGTCGCTGTGGGAACATTGTGACCTGTTCCTCGCTGCACTTCATCCGATGGGGCCACAGGGCTGTACCTCTTCACATTCAGGCCTGCAGAGGTTTGAGATACCTGACTCTCCTGTCGCAGTGATGACATCACATTGCTGGTTATCAGACACACGAGCCCTGCTCGTATTCACTGGTCAGGATTCTTGTCCCGTTAGTTGTGTGATGCCAGCGGTCGGTCCATCGGAGGCCGGGCAACGCTGGCTTTTTGGTCTTCCATCATCCAGGCCCACTGTTTAGTTGTCTTTGTGATCACCACATCTGCTGACGTATGATGTCACATGGGTGTGCTGGTTCCCCTCGGTGTGTGTCTGTGCACTCCGCTAAAGCGCCTGTAGCTTCATCTGTATAATCAGCAGGGAGTCCGCTGGCAGGGCTGGGATGTTGATTTTTTGATTTCGCTCGATTCTCTCCAGAACGATTTGGAATCAATTCAGAAAAGTCAATAATCAGAATTTTATAAACCAAATTAGTTCGCCTGCTGCAACATTTTGTTCGCCCGCTATGCACGTATGCGCGTCTAGTGCGCCCAGCACGCATGCGCACTAAACGCACCGAACGCACATGCGCGAATGTTTATGAACAAAGTTGAAGCGGCACCAAAATGGCTGCAACGGAGAGACGTATCCGACCTGCACCGGCTTCTTTAAAAGCTGCCGTATGGCAGCATTTTGGATTTTATGAGATTGACGGCAAGATGGACAAACACCATTTGTAAGGTCTGCGGAAGTAAAATTACATTACATTACAGGTCATTTAGCAGACGCTTTTATCCAAAGCGACTTACATTACACTTTAGACCCATGGATTTTTTCACATTTTTGCCCAGGGAGCAATTAGGGGTCAGGTGTCTTGCTCAGGGACACTTCGACATGGAACATGAGGCAGCCTAGACTCGAACCACCAACCTCGTGCTTCCCAGCACACCTTTTCTAACCCCTGCGCCACGACGATTTTTTAAATAAAATACTTCGGACATACAACAAATCTGCAGAGCCGCATTTCCCGACACCACTCCGAGTTGGGAGGGAAAAGGCAGCCAGGTGACGATTGAACAGGCACTGGTACAACTGCCACACATCTCACAGGGCAAAACGGAGGACTAGATCATTGCCAGATCTAAGGCCATATTCAGTTGTGGAGAAGGTGGGTTTTCGGGGAATGGTGAATACACTGGAGCCGAAGTACAAAATACCTTCTCGGCGATACTTCGCCGACACAGCTGTACCAACGCTGTACAATGTGTTGAAATGCAAACGCCATAAAGTAGCGTATTATTGTGTAGCATAACTTAACATAGAATAACAGGGATATGCTGCTTATTACCCATAATAAAAGGGGCATTTTGTGTTTGAAGTCTTCTTATCATTGACTAAGAGCAACTTTTTCTTTAATAATTTAAAAGAAAAAATCTGTTTAATATTTTTTTTACATAGGCTACTTCCATATTGTGTTGAATTGCAAGCTGCATCGGTTCTTGCATTGTTGATAGAAAATCATATTTGTGACAAAGATTTTTTTTTTTTCTCTTATAAAAAAACTCCAACTCAGATTTGAGAGAATTTAGAAAATCGACATGCATCGATAATCGTTTAATCAGTTTAGAATCGATAATCGGTTTGGAATCGAATCGTTGACCTCTGAATGGAATCGTGAGGTGCCAAGAGATTCCCACCCCTGCTGTCTGTAGTTTGAAATGTGTGACCATAAATCCAGTCTGCTGATGACCTCACTCCGTTCCTGTTGTGCTATTTGACCGTCGACTACATCTCAGCAGCATGGATTAGGGCCGGGCCGTATACCGTGTGTCAGATTTCCTGTGCTTTAGTGCCGTTGTTTAGCCGTAACCGCTGATGTTGGTGTTCAGCAGGCAGCTTCCATACGAGCGCGCCGCGATGGCCGCTCCTTGTCTTGTGTGTAGAGATGGAGTCATGGTTACCACAATGAATAGCACACAACAAACACTCTTTAACACCGACGTTAACAAGTTGTCACACTAATGACAACTTGTTAACCTGCCGGTTATGAGCGAGTTGTCCAGCGAGCTCAGGTGGCCGGAGGCCCTTTTTAGCATTGAATGAATGAACGTTTACTCTGAAGAAGATGTCAGAATCTTCCAAAATCCTGTGGTATTCCGTTGTCATCGCACTCCCTTTCTGATGTGGATCAGTGTATTGCAGTCATATAACCTCATCGTCTCCTCTGCAGGCCAACTTGCTGTCGTCCCATCGTATCCTGGTTCACCGGGTAGAAACGATCGCCCTGGGAGAGCAGCCGTGTGACCGCGGAGAACACGTCACACTGTTCCTCTTCAATGACTGCCTTGAGGTGAGGATAGCAACAACCAGTGTTGGGAGTAACGCGGTACAAAGTAACGCATCACTGTAATCCCACTACTTTTAGCGGTAACGAGCATGTAACAAAGTATTTTTTTAAATAAATGAACGCAGTTACAATTACTGAGATTGAAATGAGTTCGTTACTCGCGTTACTCTCTTTTGTGACGCGAAGCGGAGGGTCGGCCAATAGTAAGTAAACAGCTGCCTGTCAGCACTAAACAGTTGTGGCCACCAAACGTTGTGCGTCACAGAATAGTCGCGTACGTGCACGTAAACAGCGTCGCGTCGCTCATGACCAAAGGGCGCCGCCCCGCGGATGCTGCAGGCGCCGCTCCACGCAAACAACCAGGGCTCCACTTCACACGGACTGCAGTGCAGCCGATGAACCGGGCAGAGCTGAACAGATCGATCGCTCGCTGTGTTGGAGATGAGATGCGTCCTGTCAACTGTCGAGTCCGTTGCCTTCAGGCAAACGCCTGAAAGTTATTTTGTATTAAGTCAAGTATTAAAAAGGACTTTTGTACTAGTGCTTGATTTGAAGGCCTGTTGTCCTGTTGATCACAATAAAATATGTTTATTGTGTTTGACTGTTCAGTACTATTTATATTCATTACATTTAAAAAGCAGACATAAAAGTAACTTTCCAGAGTAACTAATTACTTTTGATCCACAGTAACTGGTAAGTAATTCAATTACCTTTAAAAGAAGTAACTAGTAACTGTAACTAAATACTCATTTTCAGTAACTTGCCCAACACTGGGAACAAGCAGCAGCAAATGATCCGCACCACGTTAACCCCTAGATCAGGTCAGGGCTCTAGATTATCAACTCTAACCCTAACTGGAAAAACACCAATATTCATTATTTCCTTTTTTAAAGGCCTCTAAAATTATAAAACTGCCAAATTATTCATTTCAAACTAATCAAATATTTCATGCTCATCCAAAATTCCCTTTGGTTTTACAGAGTGACTTAACACAAATGCATATTTTCGAGATGCTAAGCCAACTTTAATGTTGTACTGATGTACAGCCTCATATCCGCGCTGTGTCCCCTGCACGGCTCTGCTGCGTCCTGCATTGGTCCTCCCCTGCTCCATGCACACCGATGAAAGTAGCAATAAAGCGCAGTCTATTTTTATTAGAGCAACATAGAAGACCCAACTATAAAGTAGCAGTTCTATAATTAATAGAATACATACAGATGTAGATATAATCCCATATTTCCGTCACTTGTCGTATCATTTAAGCAGTGAGTGAAGTTTCCTTTGTAGCTCGTTAGTTAAGCCGGACGCAGCATGTTGTTAGACGCACGCTGCGCCGCATGTGCACACGCAGCGCTGAGTAGCATGTAGGAGGCGTTTTGCAGAGTGGCAGCAGTGAGAAGGTGATCAATCCCTGTGTGTGCTGACACAATCACTTCATTAGCTGTGTGTGTGTGTGTGTGTTAGACGCACACAGCCCTGGCTTCATAGTGCGTGCATGTTGTGTTAGAGTGGGCGGCCTCGCTCCTGCTCACATCATTGATTACTGTTGCATTCACACAACCGCTCTCCCCCTCTTCACTCACACTGCCAAAATAACACTGACCTACGGTGTAGTGTCATGTTTTATTCTCTCCCCATATCTCAGCATCTAATTGATGCAGCGTTAATGAGTTGCATCGTTTACCTCTATGAAGGCCTCATTGATTCGTGGCCAATTAACCGATAGCAGCTCCCCCCAGACGCTGTCAAATGACCAACACCACACGAGTGGCCTTTCTTTCCACTTCCCTCTTAAGTCGCTGTCGAATCGTTTGCATGGGCCCATTTGTGTGTTTGTTTCTGCAGATCGCGAGGAAGCGCCACAAGGTGATCAATACATTTAAGAGTCCGCTGGGACAGACGAGACCCCCGCCCCCCCTCAAACACATCGCACTGATGCCACTGTCCCAGATCCGCAGAGTGCTGGACCTGCAGGACACGGAGGGTAAGCTATTCGCTGATTGGGCTTCTGCTTATCACCCGCAGTCTGCTCCCCATTGTGTGCAACGACTCAGAGGAGGGTCTGCTGGAGCCTCCGCGCTCTGAGTCAGCTCACTTCTGCATTTTCTTCATTTGAGAATGCGCTTGTACGTCATTTTAGGAAAACAACAAACTTTAATCAGAAATGCTGTTTACTTTTCTTTTAAAATCGGTAGAAATGAGATGTTCAATGGGACTGTACTCAATATATTGAACCTACATTGGAATATAAAAGCTTTAAAAACTACAACAACCTTATCCAATGGATATTCTATTGGATTTTTCATTGCCACAGAAAACGAGCCTTTTAGAGCTGCATAGAGTTCCTTTCTCCCCCCTCTAAAGCTTGTTTTACCACCCTCTTTATTTCATGCATCTTAACAGCAGGTTTTAGAAGTCTGTCGAGCCTCTGGTGGCAACACTAGCAGCCACATCGAGCTAACAAGCTAACAAGCCGGCCAGTTGCTGTCCGGTAGCCGTGCTCCCTTTTGGCGTAAATGAATGTGTTTACTTGAAAAAGCAATACCACAGGTTAGATTTTGCGCGACGGATGAAATGTCGTTGTTGACGTTTCAGTTTTTTGCTCGGTGGCGAAAAAAGGCCGTAAATCCCACGAATCATCGTTTCGGGCAATGCCGGCTTTAGCAAGTTACTTACTCCCTAGCTGTGTCTCTGCCTGGGCTGGTCCTCCAGCAGCGGCCCCTGAAGGGGGCACTCTGTCCTGCGTGCAGCATCCGATCTACCGCCACTGCTCCGGTTGCCTAGCAACCTGCTGCGCTTGACAGTGAAAATATTGTCACATTATTTAGCACTATTTTGGCTTCCCCTGCAGTTTAAAGAATAAGAGCAAGAACGTATCCTTCATTAATCCTCGTGTGGAAATTGTTCCCTGCATCTAAGCCATGAGCCGTGTGTAGGCCTGTCACGATATCACATTTTTGTTGTGCGATTATTGCACAACATTTACTGCGATATGCGAAATTATTGCAATTTTCACACCATTTTATGCCACTGATAACATAATGACAATAAAATAGTGTAGTAATAATAGTACGCTATTTCAAAGTACAAAGAACGTTTTATTTGTCATTAGACATGAGAATTGGAATGTGAAAAAAATATCCTAATAAGAAAAAGGGGACAAGGGACACGGAGCGGCCGACGCATCACACTGGAAAATGTGTCCAGTAGGAAAAGCGCCGCGGCTGCAGGGAGAGACGGAGCGCCTCGGTCCGCTAGCGCCTAGTTCAGGACACGCACACGCAAGAGCCCCTTGCGTCTGCGTGTCCCTTGCGTGTCCCTTGCGTGTCTTTTCACACCACCTGGCGTGCGTCGACCCATTAGGCGACGCAGCGTCCTGCAGCACCAGGCTGTGATTGGTCCGCTGACTACGTCCTTTACAGAGTCTCACGTCTCCGTTTTCACAGCACAATACGGCCGTTATTAAAGGGAATGTTGACGAGAGAACGGATCAGATTGAAGAGCTTTTGTGGGAAGAAATGCGTAAATATGAGCACCTGTACAAGCCGTCACTGGCGGACTATGAGGACGCCGGATGGTCTGATTCATGGAGGGAGATCTCCACAAACGAGGGAACAAAGTTGTGGAGGAAAATACGGGACAAAAGCATGCGCACGCCTTGACATTCGGCCGGCCCGGGAGGTCCGGGGACGGCGCCCAAAGAGGCGGACGAGCAGTCCGGGGGAAGTAGTTCAGGTTGAAAGACCGGGCAGATGGGTGTTGTTTTCGGTGAGATTTTAGCTTAGTTAGCTTAGTTGGGTTCACTAACCAACTCTTCACCTGTCGGTGACCCTCTGTGTCTGTAACGTTAGTGTGTAATGTCTGCACTGAATTTATCTTTCCATCTGTCCTTCCTGTCGTGACTTCTGTGCCGTTCGTTCTTCCTCCTTGTCTCCCTGCAGATTGTGTGAATGCGTTCGCCCTGGTGGTACGTCCGCCGACTGAGCAGGAGAACTTGTTGTTCAGCTTCCAGCTGGCTGGCGAGGAAACCGTTAAAAGCGCCTGGCTGCGAACTCTGTGCCGCCACGTCGCCGACACCATCTGCAAGGCTGATGCGGTGAGAAGCTGCACACGCAGGAGGAGCAGATAATGGGTAGTTTGACAGAGTGCCAGGCAGGGATGCACGCTGTGATGGATGTGTAATCTTCATCAGCAGTTTGCTCTGGAAAGGACTAAAAGTCCTTCCACACCTCCCTCGGTCCTGATCTTCAGACTGCTCCGTGACACAGACGGAAAGCTGCGTTTCTAGCGTAAAAACCTCTTCGGGATGGATTCACCCTAAAAGGAACTTCAGAGCCTCATAAAACCAAATGAGTAGCACGTGCGTAGAGGGGAAGACCAAATGTTTAATTGACATTTGGGCCCCCGACTTAACAAAGTCTGTTTAAAAGAAAAGGAACATATTTCATTTAAAATTACCGGTCGAAATTCAGTTAAATACATTAATCACATATATTATATGGTGTACAGTGTGTGTGTGTGTGTGTGTGTGTGTGTGTGTGTGTGTGTGTGTGTGTGTGTGTGTGTGTGTGTGTGTGTGTGTGTGTGTGTGTGTGTGTGTGTCAGTCAGTGACACACATATATAAATTTGAGCACATCACAAATGAGGAAGACGGGCATTACTTCCTAGTTGATTCTGTGCTCATGGGAGAAGGCAGAGCTTCTGTTTGAGGCGTTTACGGAGAACCGACTGGTGACGAGCTGCCCCAGCATGATGCGAGCAGCAGGGGGCGATGTTGGCCTCCCGTCGGCCTCCATTCCGTCTGCTGTTTTCCCGGCTCAGCGCTGCAGCGGGAATCGCAACTAGAGGAGTCGTAAACCGACTCAGTGGGGGGAAGAGAATCTTACCCTCATCCCTTCCTGCTACTACAAAACCCAACGTATTGATTGCAGGGCTGTGCAGTATACTGGTGTAAGGTCTCCTCACGGCATGAATTGCTCACGTACCGCTCATACCGGTGATCACCAACAGCGGCCTACTTTGCTTTGCACGTCATCGAGGAGCGATCAAACCCTTTTTAACAGGGTGAAACTCCACGACAGCAGCTGGTGACACATAAACCACACTAATGATTGTACATTTATAAAATGACCCGGACTTGTGCCCCAGAGAGGAGCTGTCTGTTTGGAGGGTTTTTGGTTTTGGAAAACCTTTTGGGCCTGACACCGTCCAGCCTTCATTTATTGCATGTGTTTTTTCTTTTGTGGTAACCAGGAAGACCTGATTCGATGCACAGACCCAGACTCGCTGCAGGTCAGCACCAAGGATATGGACAGCACCCTGAGCAAAGCCTCCAGGGCCATCAAGAAGACCTCTAAAAAGGTACCGTGTGCATCACTACAGGGGGGGTCGCTTAAAGTCGTTCTGAGCCAACCGTTGGTGGTGCTGTCCTCAGCTGACGGAGCTGTCAGCAGCCGCGGGAGACACGCGTTGACCTGAAGCCGACCCGGCTGTGCTCATTCGGGTCAGACTGACGGGACCACTTACATGATTTCCTGCTGAGTGACACAGAATGAAATGAGACATCGGTGTAGACGCTTTCCTTTGATGTGATTCTGCCATTGAAGTCAGCCTTTCCAGCACCTGCAGGATCTTACTGTTTAAGTGAATATCAGCAACAAGCGGGTAAAAGATGCTCTATCTGCCTCTAAAGCACACGCACATCTGGAGCAGCGTTCAGTGAACTACGGCCAACGGCTCTTATCTCTTTAAACCAAAACAGTTTTTAAATTGCAATGCTCCCTCCTCCTCTGGCTCTCGTGCACTCCGTGCACGGTGTCAGGACAGCAGCAACTTGCATTGCGTTTGTTGTTTTTCATTTGTCATCATATTGCTGTGGTGTCCATATATCTGAACGCACACAAGATCACACACACACACAGAAGCCAGAGCAAGAACTGTGCGTCGGACAGACCCATCCGGGGCAATGCAGCACCACAGTAGCCCGGGTAAAAGGGCCGGGCGCCTTTAACAGGGACTAATAAAGTGTGTGTGTGTGTGTGTGTGTGTGTGTGTGAGACAGGTGACCAGGGCCTTTTCCTTCACCAAGACCCCGAAGCGTGTGATCCAGAGGGCCTTCATGGCCAACAGCACCCCAGAGGAGAAAGGCCAGAGGCTGAGCTGTGAGAACCGTGTGGGCAGCAGCTCCACGCTGGCTGTAAGTCGTCCTCTTCTCGGTGTCCTCTACATCCACAGCATAAGCCAATTAATACTGGGACGTCTCTGTCCACCCAGCTGTCCATCTGTTCCTTGCTCCCTTTCTTCTCTCTCCATCTCTTCCTCCCTTTGAGAAGCAGACAATTGATCTCTCCATCAATCCACGATGGAGCCACCATCAGTCAGTGTCCCTTCTTTAGATCTTTAGGAAACCGTCCTTCTGCTCTTCAATGTGAAGGACTTCTTTCTGCCTCTTTGTTGTATTTGTTATTTCAGTGCTTGTTTCCCTGTGTTATGGCCACTGTGTATTTATTTCATGGCTCTTTATTTTCATAAACAAGTGGGTGTTGAGAAGGTGACATGTTGAGGGAAAGTTCTTCACACCTCTAACGTCCCCGTGTGGCCAAAGACTGGAGGGTGGAAATAAACTAATATTCTGTGCCCACGAATGTTATTTAGAGAGTCCCAACATTCCAAACTCTTATGAGGTCTTTTCTTGTCCCCCTGAGGACGTCCTCTGCGGGAGGGTTGTTGAGGTTTTCCTTCATGCCGTGTAAATCCCTGCTCCATGTGTCTCCAGATGTCTCGCTCCGCCTCCACGTTCAGTTTGACTGATTCTACCAAGAGCGGCGCTGTGGTGCAGCGCTCCAACTCTCTGGACCATCCTCCAATCAGAGCCAGGGCTTCAGTCTGTATACGCCCCCCCAGCAGCCCCCGCCCTAACGCTGCCCTGGACTTTACTGACAAAGAATCCATCCTTCACGCGCCCCTATTGTCCCAGCCAGTGGCGGCTCATCCAGCCCCCGACGCCTCCACCCCTGCTGTGCTCCACCCAAAGTCTAGCCATCCCGGGTCCAGGCCTCAGGCCCGCTTCCTGGCTCCCCTGCCTGTTAATGAGTCAGCCCTGAGCAGTCCTCGCAGGGAGACGCTGCTCTGACCCCGTCCTGCAGTCTGATGTGAGAAGCGTTTGAACCAGGAAACGTTCCATTTCATGTCGTCCTGTGTGCTCAGTGCTCACTAGGGCTGTCAGCCTACACAAGTAGTGATGTCCCGTTGTAGTCATTCGCCCAGTTCACACGCATCTAACCAGATATTTCTTAAAGCGAATATTCAAACGGCATTTTTGAGCAATTTTGACAGCCCTGGTGCTCACTGCTGGCCTTTTAACAGCCAAATGTCACATTTCTGGCCCCAAATCAACTCCTTAGAAGCTGAGAGCCTTTGACAACAAAGATTTTAAGGGTTGATTTGGCTTCTGTCTGGAACACTAACTGGTGTCTGGGGATGTTCACCACATGGGTGCTGTTGGTTGTGGGCTCTATACGGGGGTCTAATGGAGCGGAGCAGGCTCTGTTTTGTGTGGTGAGGCTTTTCCTCGGGGAAAACATTTCATTTTATGAAGATTGACATTGATTATTAACCTTTCACATTAAAAGGTGTTTGTCTTGAGGATCAGATCAGTCCAGTTGAGGAAATCCAAATGTCAAGGCGGGCCTTTGATTGGCAGAGGCAGACGGAGCTCCACTCCACATTCATCTTTGTGACAGGATCACAGATCAAGATAGAACCACACAACAGTAAAGGAATCACTCATGAACTCAATGCTCATCTAGGTCTGGTTCAACTGTAGACCGAGGATTAGTGAGTTATTAGAATTCATCTTGCCAGGACCATGAAAGGGTGAAGATGTCGTTGGAGGACGGAGGAAAGGTGGAGACATGATGGAGGCAATGAGAATAGTCCCGAAGACGCTCACTCCCCGTTGCCTAGAAAGGGTTTGTGTCATATTCCAGACTGTCGGGGGCTCGCAGCTCCTTCCTCCCTCTGGAATCAGCACGCGGGCCAGATCCACCATGCTTCATGCAGCGTTGGCACTGAGCCCCCCACACACACACACACACACACACACACACAGCAGCTGATTAGATTTGAATGAGGTGAGATGTCTCACATCATCCATCGTAGCATTAGAACTGCTAACGGGGATTTAAGCTTCATGTGAGGCCCTCTGACTGACCGTACCATGACATCTTCTAGCTTTCCTTATTTCAAACAGAATCTAATGATCCATACCTTTCAGCAGCATGTCCAATAGTCTATTAGAAAGGAGGGAAACGGCCCTTTGATTGTTATTGGAGCCCCGTCCCCTCCTTGTTTGCACGTTAGACGTGGACCGGACTACAAATCAAAGTCCACCTTTGACTTCTGCTGTACTCAATCCCCACGCTGACTCCAAAACAGCATCCGAACAATGGCGCTTTGGAGACGCACTCCGTGTGGCCGTCCTCAGATCAACGCGGCGCTTCCTGGGGGCGTGGCCAGTAGCCGGAGGCTTTCAGGCTGCTGTGTCTGCGGTTTAGTGCCAAAGGAATCAGGAATCAGGAAACATTTATTAGCCAAAATATGTCAAACATACAAGGAATTTGTCTTGGCGGTTAGTGCGCGACAGTAGACAGACAAGACAACAGTGCACAGGTAATAAAATAAAGTAGAATGAAATGCTAATGCAATGGGTTAGTAGAATAAGGCTAAGGCTATGGGTTAGTATAAAACAAGGGAATCAAGTTAAAAAAAATTTAAATATTCAAAAGTTAAAAAGAAAAATATTAAGCATAAAGTGCACTGAACAAGTAACAGACAAGAGACAAAGTGATGAATTGCAGTCAAAGGAACAGTTTTTCCACGCAGTAATTGAAATGAAGCTTTGGCACATCAACGCTCCTCCTTCTCGTACACACTTTGATCTGTTGACACTTTTACTTGCATTTTATTTTGGATCAATATAAATATAAAATCAATATATCCAACCTGAATGAATACCATTAAATTGGCTCATTTCCTCTGACTGATATGATCTTACCATTTAATATCTTACAGGGCCGCAGAGTGGTGCCCACAGACATTACTACCGTACACTGCACCGCCTGCATTTGGTTTGATCCACTGTGGTACATTCCATCGATCTGTCCCCAGGGTGCGAATCCCAGGCCCCTCCACACAACGCCTTTACTGGTTTTACTGGTATGAAGTGGGCTCCATGGCTGAGTGAGCGCTGAGCACTCGTTCACACGCACACACACACTGGTGTTCACGGTTATTTAAAGCGCCCCCACATGTGTGGTAAGACTGCAACAAAATCCACCGTGAGTGGCCACCCACCTGACGTGTCCAGGCTATCTGCAGCATAGCTGTAAGCACATCCCACGGAACCTCCCCACCAGGTAGCACTGAGAGCCGGCGCCCTGGTGGACACACGGGTCCATTGGTGTTTCCAGCTGCGCGGACGTCCGACTAACCCCGAGCTCTGTGGACACTCATGAGTGTCACCACGTTGGACTTTGAGTAGGGACGTTGTTGATGCGCTGAAGAAGCGACTACGAGGCGCCCACAAGCTAAAGCGATGTCCCTATGCTTCTGTTTACAGGCACGCCCCTCCCCCTCCATGGTCAACCTGCCCTCCATGTTTGAGAAGAAGTACCACACATTCAGTCGCTCCTCCACCCACCTCTTCTGAGACACCGGCCCCTCCGTGTGTGTGTGTGTGTGTGTGTGTGTGTGTGTGTGTGTGGTGTGTGTGTGTGTGTGTGTGTGTGTGTGTGTGTGTGGTTAACGAGTATCTGTGCATACTGGAGCTCCTCCAGAGGAAACAAGGTCCAGCTGCTGTCCTGAGATGGGCTGAAACAATAAAGTGGTTGTGAACTTGTGAAGATGCACGGCCACCAGGAGCTGGCTGGTGGAGCCGACTGGACCTGTACTGCACGGTGCTGGGGAGGGAGGGAGGGAGGGAGGGAGGGAGGGAGAGAGAGATGCTCTCTGCAGGTAAAAGATGAAGGATGCTCTTCTTTTTGTTAGATCCATCTTGGTTTAGTTGGCGTTTCCTGGCTGGTTGCTGCTGTTGGGAGACACACTAGCTGAGGACCTGTCTGTCTATGGTTCTAACGGAGACCTCGTTCTGTCCACAAAGGTCCCCGGAGGCTGAATATCTTTTTCTCACCGCTTTAGGGAAGTAAATGGTTTTGATGATTAGGTATTTCTATTTAACTAATTCAGGTGGTTGAGTTATGGTGTTTGTAGTAAAGGTTACATCCTCATGTTAACTGACATTTAACATTGTTTTACTCTAGTAGGCTAGACTTATTCTCACCTTATGTCACTTATTGTAATTAACCCACTTTCAACATTTACACCCATGATAGTTCCCAGCTTTTATAAAGCTTCTATTTTAACTTGCGAGAGATTAACTTGAATAAAAGCACTTGTGCTCTTGTTCCCTGTACTTTGTTTTTTTAAAGCCCTTTTTACAGCGTGTCCATGTACGCTTCACAAGGAATGCTGCATCTGTGTATTTATTCTTGAAGAATTATCCTTTTCTCTTGCTATTTATGTTCCATGTTTGTGTCTGTTTTTCCTCATATTCTGATTCGTTGTCTTCTGCCGTTTCATCTCTGTATTAAATGCACTAAAACATGTACCTAAAGATTTCATCTCTTTTCCCTGTGGTCTTATCCCCAGCATATTATAAAAATCTAGTAAGTAATTTGTGTGAACATAAATCTTTTTTATCATATTTCCTCTTTAGGCAAGGAAAATGTATCTGTAGCACATTTCATTAAAAAGTGCTTCACATGAAACCATGAAAAGAGATTTAAAAACCGACATTAAAACAAACGTTACTGAAACTAGAAAATGCGTTGATGCTGAAAGCTGAAATGAACTTCAGAAAGTTGCGGCATTTTAATACATTTACTGAAATTCCAGAGAAAAGCTGAAAACACAGAAATGGGAGAAGCTGAAAGGAATTTAAATAGATTTGCTGAAAAAGCGGAAATGAAAACGGCTGTAATGAATTTGAAAAAAAATACAGAAATGAATATTAAAACATTGCTTTTATTTAGGCATAAGAAAAGCTGAAACTATTTTAAAGAACTGATGAAAAAACAAATGAAATAAGCTAAATTTTCTGAAAACACAGAAGTTGCAGGAGCTTAAATTCTTTAAAAAATACAGAAATAAAAGCTGAGATTAATAAAAAAGGTTCTAAATTGTTTGTAGAATATTCGTAGTAGTTATATAGTGGTAATCCTGGCACTAGTGAAACTAGCAGTAGATGTAGTAATAGTAGGTTTAGTATCAATAGCAGCATAAACACTAGAAGTAGTAGTGTTAATATTACAGCTGGTAGCAAAAGAAATGACAAGCTGAGATGAGTTTTTCCTTATCTGTAGTACTAACACTATTAGTCATTGTAGTAATATGAGTAGTAGTTGTGGTATTAATAGCAGTATAAATACTGGTATGTTTTCTTATAGTAAGAGTAGTAATATCAGTTGCAGGGTCACTGCTACTGGTAGAAATAGTATTTTTAGTACAACTACTATTAGTTGTAGTATGAGTCATTTAGTATTAATACCAGTTGAAATACTAGTAGTAGTAGTAATGGTAGTACCAGTATTAGTTGAAGTAGCACTACTAGTTGTACTAGTGATATTGGTGTGGACCAGCATACCTGGGGCTTATTCCGATTGATTGGGAGAGGCGGGGACATTACTTACGCCCGTGGTGTGTGGACTCGTTGTCTCCTGCTGGGTGTCTGTGGACATTCTGCTGCGCTGCGGTGTGCTCGGGGCACTTTCCCCATCTTTTGTGCCTTTTATTGTCCTGTGTCGCCGTGTATGCGGCACTAATGTGCATTCTTTCATACAGCGACCCTGTCTCGGTCATGGACGTCCCCGTGTGGGTGGACGGGTGCCTGGGCTGCTGGCGTTCGGTGTCTCGGTACGATGCATGCCTCCCTCTTTCCACACATTTGGGCGTTATTAAAATCTGACAGTCTTAATTGTTATAGTGTGGGCCGCTGAGTGTGTGTGTGCGAGGTGGGTGCCCCCGCCGGGGTCCGTGGGCGGCCTGTACTGTAATTGGGTTGCTGTACATTCATTGCGGTCGTGTTCTGTGTGTTTCACAACACCGCTGGACCGGGCTGCAGCCTTGGACGTGCTATTGTGGGGCTGTCCTGGTGCCACGACTAATTAAAGGGCCAATATTCCCCGGCGCGCTCTCCCTCCCCCACTGAAGCCGTTCTTGATACGGCTGAAACCGTTCTGGTTTGACGTTGGTTACCTACATAATGTAACTTAGGCATTTAGAAACTGAGATGTTATATAATATAACACATTTCTAGATGCTGTGACTTCTGCTAACTTCAAAGTGACTGTTCACCTGCCTCCGTCCTAAATAAATGACTTCTTCGTAATCCGCAACCGATTGATCAGATGTATCCTCCAAATGACGGCCTGAAGGGCTGCGCGCCTCAACCGCATTCGGAGGACTTGACATGATGCGGCCGCCGCCCAAGTGACTCATGAGGTCAACGAAGTTTCTCCATAAGGATGCAGCCGACCAATTGAGACGTACCCAATGTGTGCTTTTGGATGAGGAGTCTTTCAATTCAGCCAAACTGGTATTTCAGTCACGGCGGCGGGGCAGGAAGCGAGAGACGCTCATGTTTTGTCCTCTTCACATGTAACCTCTACAAAGCATTAGGAATAAATCTGTGACTCCTGGATAAAGCGCGGGATGTGTCAGGCTGCCAGCAGCGACGGGGGGGGGGGGGGGCATGAGGGCCTGAGGCGAGACCAGGGAATAGCCACAATGAAAAGGCACCTCTTCACGGAGGACACTTTCTCCTTTCATATTTGACTTTGCCTTTACTTCAAAGTACCTCTGACTGGCTGTTTAGGGGTAAAACAAAAGAGTGGGAGACGGGCATGGGGGCAGGAGAGGTAGGGGTCTGCTGGTTCCAAGGTACCATCGTGAAGGACACAGCCCCAGACCAAAGTGATGAAGGACCCTTCATATCCAGACTGTCTTACTAAATACTGTAATTGAAAAAGATGTGTTCATGCAAATCAAGTTCTTTGCAGGAACGTGATGGAAATATATTTCTTCTCTTCACATAGAGGAGACAGCAGTAGAAAGACAGTCGTTTGACATTGAAATCCCTGAGTGGGAAAGTGGGGGAGATTAGGCTGTTCATGTAAAGAAGCCCTCTACTGCAAGAGAAGTTTTCATTTTCACCATGACCCCAAACTTTAAGCAGAACTGGAGGGTTTCCCAGAAGGACGCCATCTGTAACCTTGAGAGCAGAGTGATCGTCCTAAAGTCCGTCTGTGTTTACATTCATGGGATTGGACCATGATTCAGATCTGTTTGGTTTTCTGAGTAAATAATGAAGTCCTAAAGCTGCGTCACACCAAACGTGACGGGAATTATTCGCAACAGTGCAGCGTGTGTGCACAGACGCGATGGGACTGCAGTAACGTGGATTTGCGATAGCGCTGCGCTTTGGTTGCGTTTTTCAACCAAAAGGGTGTGACGCCGCGGCGCGATGGCCGATCAGCGCTTAAACGGGCTACCGGCCAGCATCATGCACTGCTGGAAGCGCTTGGTCAGTGGAATGACTCCATTCATGCAAATTGACCAGAAATGATGCTCTGACAGTACACAAGGCGTTTAGAGCGATACAAACATTCAGTGCATTTGGTGTGAACGCACATAAAACGTAAGAGCGAGTCTTGCCGCTGTGTCCCTTCCCCATTGACATCAGAACGCCCAAAACTACCACAAAAGTGAGACCTTTTCAAAATGTCACATATTGTCACTGTAATTCTGTACGTATTAGGCATGACGTCATGTTATTTTCCACACATCAGAAGTATTATGGCAGAACATCAACCGCTGTCTTCTCTTTAAACAGCGGCCATCTGGATGAGCGCGTGTGTGTTCCTCGGTTTGTTAGGCGTTCTAGTGAGTATTGCAGTCCTGCCGTGCACTACAGGAACATCCGGTTCCAGCGCTCCGTGTCAGGCTGTGGTTGTGAACAGCAGTGCTTTTAGCTAAATAACTTGTTGGGATTCAACGATCATTTATTGTCATTATGCAACGGTCCGATCATGTTTGATCCCAGATGGACCCACGTCTGTATAAAGACGTGGGCTCAACAGTCGCTGATCCTGCTGTTTCCTTCGCTTCTGTGGTTGGTTGGTGATTGTCTCAAAGTCTGCTGCACTCCCCATGCCTTCTTTTCACATATGACATATAATATATGTCATATGTTGTTAGTTACACGTTGTATAGTGTATGCTCAGTTCATGTATTGATTAGGATGTTCCCCACTTCAACCCGTGCATTCTGGAATAATCCACAAACCCCTCAGACCAGAAGAAGAGATCTAATCTATTGAATTTTAATTTTACACTGGTTTTTAAAAGCCTTCATTTGATCTTCTGCACGTTTAAGTTACTCTCAAAATACAGTATAGTATTGCTATTGTCTGTTAGTTACTCTTATAGTATACTATAGTGTGAGAGTGAATTCACACTAGATGTTTATCTACCTTTGTAAAAAATGCCTTTAAACAGGAGCATCAACAGGCTTGATCATCCAACATGGGAAAAGTAGCATATAACTCCAAAGTGATATTATAGTACACAATCCTTTCATCTCGCCCGACGTGAGCTGGGATGGACCCCACGTGGACCCCCACGTGGACCCCCACGACCCTGTATGACGGGTAAGTGCTGTGAAGATGGATGGATGGGCAATCAAGTTTCTCATTCATTAATAGAACATATTCTATAGACAATATTGATTCGGCAAAACTATAACAATATGATTTGACAGTTTGCAATAAATATACAATATATATACAATAAATATATTGTACATTAAAGTGACATTACGAGGAGATAAATCGGCGTATGTGAGAGAGAGATCATGTGACTCCCAGTGGACTGTAGCTGACCGTCTATAGGCCTTTTAGACAACAGAGCTCAGCTGGATACTGACAAGCACTGATCTCCATTCAGTGTTCTCTCTTCTCGCCTTTCACAACCCCAATTATTTTCTAATTGCTCAAAGAGCCCCCTCTTCAACTATGCCGCCATTATTGCTCATTTCCCACCGCCGGGGGCTTGATGCAGGACCTGTTAACTTCAGAGCTGCCAGAAATGTTGTCAAGTTAAATGAACCATCAGCTGTGCCATTTAACAGATGTGAGTTAGAAAACTTTGTCACCCTCAGCTCACAAGAGAAAAGAAGATAGGACCATAGGATAAAACCATCAATCAATCATAACTAGTCAAGGCGCATTTAAAAAACAAGGTGATTCTAATTAAGGATTCTATATTGGCATGTTATATAATTCATCCTCTAAACACAGCTGTTGCTTGTCAGATGCAATCAAGTGGACGGTAGTAAAACGCCATGATGCGTCACTATGCGTAATGGCGCTGATGGGCTGATCTCCGCGCTCATAGAAGACGTGGCACATGGAAGGATTGGCGCCGTAGTGCAGCCCACCAGCGGGCTGTTTAGGGGTGGATGGCGCTGCCTCGACCGCACTGGAGGGAGGTTATTGTTTACTCCTGAAAGGTGTGAAACATCCGTGCTGCATGTGCTGTGCTACATAATGTGGCCCAGCTTCCAAACGTGCCTCGACCCCCTGACGCCGATGTTGGTCCAGACCCTGTCCCCGATCCCCAATCACTGCGGCCAGTCTCTCATCAGGAGGGGACGGCTCCGGTGTACAAGGGTCCTTAAAGCGGCAAAAACATGGTGTTTTGGATTCCAGTGCAGGAGCATCATTCCACTGAACACGCCGCATTCAAACTGCAGTACATGTTGCCATAACATGTGAAAGGATGCAACAGCACATTGACTGTAAGTGGTTTTTACAACATTTCTTTGAGTTGACAAATAAATATGTAATATTTTATCTCGCGCAAATGACCGTTTCAAATTCCAGAGCCCTATCTCTCTCTCTCTGTTTTTCCTTTTAAGGAGAGTGAATCCAGGACGCCTCTTGTTGAAGATCGCCATGAGCAGCCATACAGAGTAAGAATCCTTGACTAATTCACATTTAGGTTTGAGGAGTATGGTGCATCTGGGATACTTTTGTATGATGGATGGATTTGTCCAGTTCCCATTCTTTTTTTTAATCTGTCCTTAGAGTGGACAATACTTTCTCCAGTGTGGCAGCCCGTCCGACAAGTAGAGAGGAATTGCCAGGACCTTCGGTTCCACAACTATCGCCATCTTCTTCAGCAGGTGATTTACTCAGAATCTTTACTGGTGTAGGGTAAATTGAAACTGTGTTGTCTGTAAATGGATTAGTGACTACTCACAAAAACGGTAACAACAAATCTCCCCAAAAGACATGCTGGAGGATGTGTGATCCAGTGAATTCAAACGCACCATTGATTTCAGGTACCTACCGTTGAGTATCTGCAGTAGCAGGGCTTCCAAAATGTCCCTGTCAGGACAAGAAAAACCGACTGACTCTGGAATGGCAGCTGATATTAGTTTAGAAGTTCCTCTGCACCAACCAATTTCCTTTTTTCAGCATGAAAAGCAGACGCCTGGAAAGCATGTCAGTTGTTTAGAGAAGAACTCCTGGACTGTCACTTGGAATGTCCACGGCTCTTTCTATTACTTCACTTATTTGATGAAGAAGAACAGGACAGTTCAATAATTTCATTCTTTAAAAGGAATGATGTTAACTGGGCCAGTCCATTCAGGTGCAAGCTGAGAGGTACTCCCAAACAGTAACTGGATACCCTGTTACTGACTCTAAAAAAGACTTTCATAATGAGGATTTTGTGCATGTTTCCTTGTCCACTGAAGACAGTGAAGGCTGTTCAGCACATGGTTGAGCTTTTCACGTGTGTGTGTGTGTGTGTGAGAGAATTCTCTGCCAAATCGGCTCCTGGAGGGCTGCGTCCCTCGTTTGGAGGAGCCGAGTTGCAGCAGAAGTGACCTATGGGGACAAATGCGTCCTTAATGATGCTGCCTAGGGAATTGAGAGAGAGCCCTTGTGATTGTCTGCCGTGTCCATTATTTTGTGTCCCTGATTCCTGCTGGGCCAAATCACCCGTACTTTCCCAGCGTATTTAAACCATGTGTTTCCCTTGTTCACTTCATTGAGTGTCTTGACGATATCGGTGAGCTTTTGATTTGCTTCTGTTCCCGGACCGCGCTTTGCCCCTAGGCATTTTGATGTTGCGGAATGAATTAGTTTTTATTCTTAAAATCAGAAATTGAGTCCTACTTTCGGCACCTCAACCGTGACGGCTTGCAAGCATGGAGCAGAGTTGAAACAATAAAACTTCACAACATGTTCCTAGGGAAAATATCCAGATCCTACTCCACAAATCATCCTGTACATCAGTCTATCAGAGGTCGGTCTATCCACTCCAACTGAACATTATTTGAATTTGCCCAACATAAACCTTGTGTTCATACTAAGTACAACCTCTTATTCTTGTTTCTTGCTCTTCTCAGTTTGTATCCTTATGGTTGAATGCACTTATTGTAAGTCAGCTAAATGACATGTGATGTAACGTAAAAATAAAACCATGTTCGAGAAGAAGCCATTTTTATTGCCAAGTATTATTTTACACATCCAGGAAATGTTGTCTGTATTTAACCCGTCCCACACAGAGTGAGCAGTGTGCTGCCGTAAAGGTGCCCGGGGAGCAGTTAGGGGTTAGGTGTCTTGCTCAGGGACACCTCGACATGGGACAGTCGAGGTTTGAACCGCCAACCCTGCTTGAATTGATACCCTGATTGAATGAACACATAAAACAAGACGCTTCAATGTCACATGGATTATATGTGTATACCATCTACAGCAGACATGTTGTGAGATCTGTAACAAAGCAATGAATCACATCCACCAAATTTAAGGATAGAAAATGTTGAACATAACCGTTTTTCCAAATTAGGTCCTAACCAAATTTATAGATCACCACACTGAATACTCTTGACTCTAAGCCTGAGTTGTCATTTTCAAATCATTTAAATCATCTGGCCAAATTGCATCCTACAAATACAGGCCATCCCTGCACACCTGCTCACCCCGGAAAACAATTTCCAGCGTGTGTTGACTTCTGTCACAACAAAGCTGCAGCTCCTAAATCAATTAATGGATCTGTAATGGCAGCAGCTGCCAGGTATCTCCCAGGACTTGGCGGGGTTTGTTGGTCCTGTTGTCTGTCTCGGTCCCTCTAACAAGGCCCAGATGAATGAACATAGACGATTACTTAATTAGGACACACTCCCATTTTTCTCTGTCACTCTCACACAGCGCTTCATTTTTACTCCGCGTGTGTCTGTATTTTAGTTTCATCATTGCTTTCAATTAATCTTCTGGCACAAGTGATGAGCTGGTAAAAACGGACAACAGACAGTTACAGGACCTTCAGAAGGAGATCGAGGCAGAGAAGGCGACAAGGAGAGAGATGTCTATAAAAGACTGGATTCATTTCTCAAATGAAGAAAAATTGCTGTGTGACACCGAGGGCTTCCAGCTACTTATTAGCCCTTAAAAGGTGAGAACCACTATCGACATCTCACTAAGCTGAGTGTTTAATCTCTACAGAGGACATGAAAGGCAGGGAGAAGCTAAGGTTGTTTACATGTATTACCATGGTAATGACAGGGCGAGGGCATGAGTTCCTCCCCACATTTCTTTTTCTTTTTGCATTTTTCTTTTATTCCATGTCAGTTTGTGTGCATACATAAACAGTTTTTCTTACATCTTCATGATAAACTCAGTACTCATGGGAGATTTCCAAACACAACACTACCCTTGCATTCAAGTTTGCTGCAAACAGTCCTGAATTCATAAACAATGAAATGGAGGTTCCTGTTTTTATTGTCCAAGCTGTGTTTAAAAGAATGCTACACGGGCTGCAGTTCACAAGTCCAGAGCTTCATTTACAGGACATCTACCCAAACACTGAGCCAGAAGGAGGACCTGTTACATGTCAAATCATCAACCATACATTTCCAAAGGAGATTAAAATACAATTTTTAGATGACTTTAAGAGGGGGGAGAAAGTACAAATACATTTGAGATGCATAGTCATTCCCAATTAAGATCAATAATTAAAAAAAATGTTTTCACTTACTCAAGACCCATAACACAGTAATTCCGTTATACTGCCATTCAGGTGACCTAAAACAGCGGTTGGATTCTTGCAATATGAAAGCACTCTAAAACCAATCATCATGCCTCAGCAAGACTCTTTTCCCCATGAAAAGGTTTTGACTGACAATCACTGTACAAGAATTTCTGTAAAAGCGCTTGCTTAAATGTATCCATCGTCCATCACCTCGTCACAGGAGGTCTCTGGAACTGCCAGTCAGCGACTCGCAAGGCTGACTTCATCTCCGGCTTCGCTATCCAGCAGTCACTCGACTTCCTCGCTCTGACCGAGACCTGGATCACACCTGAGAACACATCCACCCCAGCCGCTCTCTCCTCCGCCTTCTCCTTCAGCCACACTCCCAGGCCCACTGGTAGGGGTGGTGGCACAGGTCTACTCATTTCACCCAAATGGAGCTTTTCTCTCTACCCTCTACCACCATCCACCCCATTGTCCTTTGAATTCCATGCTGTAACAATCACTCACCCGGTACAATTAACCATCATTGTCCTCTACCGTCCGCCAGGCTCCTTAGGTCATTTCTTGGAAGAACTGGACATTCTCCTGTCTAATTTCCCCGAAAATGGACCTCCGCTCATCCTCCTGGGTGACTTCAACATCCAGAGAAGTCACCTGACCTCTTACACCTACTCTCTTCCTTCGCTCTGTCACTCAGTCCCTCTCCTCCTACTCACAAAGCCGGCAATCACCTTGACTACATCTTTACTAGAAACTGCTCTACCACTAACCTCTCTGTAACTCCACTTCATGTGTCTGATCACTTCTTCATCTCTTACTCCCTTCCACTCTCTATAACTAACAAACCTCCCTCATTGACTAACTCCACACCGGCTCGTCGCAACATTCGCTCCCTCTCTCCCTCCTCGCTGGCATCCTCTGTTCTATCAGCCCTCCCTTCAACTGATTCCTTCTCACTCTTGCATCCAAACGCTGCTGCAGAGTCTCTCCTCTCAACTCTTTCCTCCTCTCTAGACTCTCTCTGCCCTCTTACGACACGACGGACTGGCAAATCCCCTCCGGCTCCGTGGCTGTCTCAACCGGTCCGTGCCATGAGAGCCACCATGCGAGCGTCGGAAAGGAAATGGCGTAAATATAAACGACCTGAGGACCTGCTCGAATTTCAATCTCTCCTCTCCTCGTTTTCTGCTTCTATCTCTGCTGCCAAAAGCTCCTTCTACCAATCCAAAATCGAATCCTCATTCTCTAACCCCAAAAAACTCTTCTCGATCTTCTCCAATCTCCTCGAACCCCCTACCCCTCCTCCCCCCTCCACCCTTCTTCCGGGAGACTTTGTCAACTACTTCGCCAAGAAAATAGCTGACATACGCTCCTCCTTCTCAAACCCACCTCCTACTTCTCGCGTCCCACCGACCTCACCTCTTTTGCCCTCACTCTCCTCTTTCACCGCCCTCTCTCCTAACCAAATTCTTACCCTAGTAACCTCTGCCCGTCCGACCACCTGCCCTCTTGACCCCATTCCATCACACCTTCTACAATCTATTGCACCTGACCTTCTTCCGTTCCTCACCTGTCTCATCAACAACGCTCTGATATCTGGCTGTTTTCCCAATTCTCTGAAGGAGGCAAGAGTCAACCCTCTCCTGAAGAAACCCACCCTCAACCCTTCTGAAGAAAACAACTACAGACCGGTCTCTCTTCTTCCCTTTTTGTCCAAAACCCTTGAACGTGCTATCTTTAATCAACTCTCCTCTTATCTCCACTGTAACAACATCCTTGACCCCCACCAGTCAGGTTTCAAGGCAGGCCACTCTACAGAGACTGCTCTCCTTGCTGTCTCTGAGCAACTCCACACTGCTAGAGCCGCCTCTCTCTCCTCTGTCCTCATCCTTCTGGACCTTTCTGCTGCATTTGACACGGTCAACCACCAGATCCTTATTTCCTCCCTTCAGGAACTTGGTGTCACAGGCTCTGCTCTCTCCCTTCTCTCGTCCTACCTCGATGGTCGCACCTACCGGGTAACCTGGCGAGGATCTGTGTCGGAACCTTGTCCTCTTACTACTGGAGTTCCTCAGGGTTCCGTGCTGGGTCCCCTCCTGTTTTCGCTTTACACAAACTCTCTTGGCGCTGTCATTCGCTCGCATGGCTTCTCTTACCACAGCTATGCCGATGACACCCAACTAATTCTCTCCTTTCCTCACTCGGACACCCAGGTGGCGGCTCGGATCTCTGCCTGTCTAACTGACATCTCTCAGTGGATGTCCGCCCACCATCTGAAAATCAACCCCGACAAGACTGAACTACTTCTCTTTCCCGGAAAAGATTCGCTTACCCAGGACCTGACAGTCAACTTTGGGAACTCCGTACTAACGCCCACCTCGACCGCTAAGAACCTCGGCGTCACACTCGACAGCCAACTCTCCCTGACTCCCAACATTGCCGCGACAACGCGATCCTGTAGATACACGCTCTACAATATCAGGAGAATACGTCCCCTTCTCACTCAGAAGGCAGCGCAGGTACTGATTCAGGCTCTTGTCATCTCCCGCCTGGACTACTGCAACTCCCTCCTGGCAGGTCTCCCTGCCACCGCCATTCGACCTCTGCAGCTCATTCAGAATGCAGCAGCTCGACTGGTCTTCAACCTTCCGAAATTCTCCCACACTACTCCACTCCTCCGCTCTCTTCACTGGCTACCGGTGGCCGCCCGCATCCAGTTCAAAACATTGGTGCTCACGTACCGTGCTGTGAAAGGATCGGGTCCAGCTTACATCCAGGACATGGTCAAACCCTACATCCCAACCCGCACTCTCCGCTCTGCATCTGCAAAACTACTCGTCCCTCCCTCACTGAGAGCAAAACACTCGACTAGGTCTCGACTCTTCGCTGTCCTTGCGCCGAAATGGTGGAACGAGCTCTCTGAAGACACCAGGACCGCAGAAAGCCTTCACATCTTCCGCCGCAAACTAAAGACACACCTCTTCAGACTCTACCTCGACTAAAGACTAACAAATTGTAGCACTTAAATTGTACTTGTAACGTCACTCATCTATAGCAAATTGTAAATTGGCTTATTTGAGGAAATTGCACTTTCTTGTTTCTTGTTCTCCTGAGTTTGTACCCTATGGTTGAATGCACTTATTGTACGTCGCTTTGGATAAAAGCGTCAGCTAAATGACATGTAATGTAAATGTAATGTATCAGTTTCCATTGACAACTTCTCAGATTGATCTGTCTAACAAACCATCTGGTGTGTAAAGTTAATGAAAATGAACCAAATAACATCAGGATCAATTCGGTACACATGACATTATTGCATGTCTGTCCATTCTGCCACAGAAATCCCTCTTTTGTTGCTCTGCCTATTGTGGTCTTTGCTACAACTAGTTGTAGAGGAACCTATTGTATTTCTAGGAATTATT